GCCCCTTTCAGCTCAACACATCAAGCTTCAGCAAATTTTAAATTAGGTCTTCATTTATGATATACTTGTTAAAATGCGTCTGCTCTGTGGCTAGGTCGATGCGAACGCTTCGTAATGCCTGGATGCCGGGTTCGATCCTAGGTGCGGGCCATGCGCCTTGTGTTAATTTCGACAGTGGTAACAAGAAAGCCGACCGCCCGAAAGCAGTGGCAAACTACTGGACGTAAATTTGCCTAGAAAAACCACACAACAACCAGGGGGCTGTTGGGGTTGGTTCTGCGACGTCCTGTAAAGGATACGCAACTAACCTGTTAAAATGCAGTGGGTCTCTATTGCCCTCTCACCCACCCAACAAGGGAAACCCGGAACTCATATCGGGAGATTGAAAGTAAGTTTCTTACGTTTCCTTTCCTGAAAGCTGACTAATTAGGGGCTTTCTTAACTTATATGTGTTGGGCCGAAAGAAACAAAAATAGCGGCCTCGCTGTATTCCACGGCACAACGTACCAAATGCCTTTCTAAAGGAGAACGCATATGAAAAGGAAGATACTTTGTTATAAGAAACTTCGTAAATTGTTTTGTTCTTTCATGTTCTGAAATTTTATCCACTCCGTGAATTCTTCCTTGAGAGAAAACTACTTTTGTCCGCCCAGAATTCATGTCGACCGGAAACAGCGATTTCATGCGCACGGAGAAATAACAGAAAAAGTTGAAGCTCACGTCGATGTGGAATTATCTCCCACATCTTTATTCTTTCTATTTTCCTGACATTCCCTAAATCTTAGTTTGAAGAGAGACAATGGGCAAACCAAAGAAAGGAACTAAAGCTCATGACGAAGACCTGTAAGTCGGGTGTATGACTGGGATGTGTGGTCGTCGCTCAAATCGAGAACTCATGTTTGGTCTGGCTGTAGTGGTACAATTGAATAAGGCTTAATTTGGTGTGGAGATCGAATATAACTTAAGAGTGTAAAGGCAGGGGGTCTGTCTAGCTGATGTCTTTATTTCCAGATTTATTTTGAACTAATAATGGAAGAAAAACAATCCTTTTTTTTTTATTTATACTTCTTTGTAGCTATAATTAGTTTAAATTAGTGTTGCCGTTGCTGATTTACTCCACTTAATTATTTTTTTTTAAAAATTTTAAATGATGATGGACAGACTGAGTTTAATTATTTCCTGACAGTATATGACTGTTTGATTAAGCAATATGAATTTTGAATTTATTGATTATTCTTGCCGAGGAAAGCTAGGGAAACAAAAATACTCGAGTAACAGACACGTTCTCTTATATTTAAATTATAAAGTATTTGGCTATCCTCCAACTAACGGTCGGTAAAGATGGTGGCCTCAAAATATCCTTTCAAGCCACAGTCGCGTGACTCAGATTGTGGTTCTCCTGCGATTTTCCGGCGACTATCGCCACCGCCACGTGCAATGGGGCTAAACTAGATGGCTAGGACCCACGAGCAGCAGTCGCGGTGTGATCGTGACCGCTAGTGCCAGTGCGCAATTGACATGCGACTGTGGCTCAAAAGGATATTTTGCGGCCCCCATCTTTACAGACCGTTAGTCGGAGGATAGCCAAGTATTTACTTTACTACCATTAGTAATGCAAAGAGGGCGAGGAGGAATCTAAGGTAGAATGCAGATAATTGTGTAACTTATAATTTAAGTATAAATAATAATAATAGTTAATATTAGCGTGAAGACCATCACTTACTATATTATTATACACATATGAGTGTCAATAATCTAAAGCAATTATTTTTTATGTTAAATTATGGAAACTCTTAGTAGTGTACAAAAAATGAAATATACCTAGTGTATTTCCAGTTGTTTGTTTTACTATAGTATTACTATTACTACAGACACATAAAACATTAGAAACTTTTTTTTAAATATCTGCTTGAACTGCATCCATTTTCTTTTCTTCTTACTCTTTGTAATTTAAAAGTATACAATTAAAGGCTATCCTCCGAATAACGGGCAATTATAGCGGCCAAAAACACCCCCAGGGCCTCAGTCACATGTAAATTGCGGACTTCCTGAGGATAGTCCAATTAAGACAGTGCCTATGTTATGCTGCTTGTCAATTAAATGAGGTATTGTTCCCACTGGACTGGCAAAAGGAAATTAAATAAGAATCTATAAAAAGAAACAACTCTTCTGATGCAATTATGATGCAAAAGCTTATTGTATTATAAATACACGCATATTGATATAAACATTATTCTGTCATTTCTTCTGTCACTAGCCTCTAACTTGAACCATTTTGGCAAACTCTGTCACTGTTTTAAGTTTTTACTTTTCCAGCTTTAAAATAGCCACCAGCCATAACTGGAAAGTATTTATATACTTTGTTTCTTTCACATACAAGTGTAGATAAAAAGAGGTCTTCTTTCACAGTGATTTCATAAGTCCCTTAAACCATTTTAGCTTCTTACACTGTCAGTGTCAGGCTTTACTAACTTTGAACTAAACATTATCAGCTGTAACTGGAAGGTGTTTATGTTTAAATAATATATATAAATATATATTTTAAAAATAATTTGCCATAAATGTGCAAGGCTTTATTCACAGTGGTTTCATAACTTGAACACTTTTAGCTGACTCTTTGAGTATCATGTGTTTACTTTGCTAACTTTCAATTATACACTATGAAATGTGAATTGGAAAATATTTTTACACTTTTAGTTTTCTCACTTGTGTAATTTTTTTTTACCTCAGTATATATATTTTTTTTTTTGTAATTGAAACTGATGGACTGTAAATTTTGAAATTTATTTTTGAAAGAAGGTTGGTGATATCTGCAGCATTGAACCTCAAGGACTGGGAGTAATAATATTTGAAGAATTATATGAAAAAATTGGACTTTGTACTTCTAAAGAAAAAAGCACAAGGACGGTAATCTTATGGCAGACACTTGGATACTATGAGTACAGTCATTGTTGTTAGTTGGATCAAAGACTTTGATTTCTAACTCTTTAGGTCTGATGCATCAACATTCAGACTGCCTCAACCTTGCAAAGGACTGGAATCAAAGTCGTGTGCTATTCTTTAATTCCTTGTATGTCTGTATTGACAAATATGCACATGCCTGTTTATTTCTTTAAATTACATACTATTATGGTAACTGGTCCCTAAAAGAAACACTAGCACTTTTAAACAGTAATCTGACTACATGCCTTGGGTATTAAATCTGTCTATATGTATTTACTTTGCTTGTACTTGCTTCAAGATTTTACTGAGCCTGACATGTGTTTTACTAATTTAAAATTGGAACAGTGATGGATATTTTGTGGGATTTCTACTGGCACAGGTGGGAGCAGTTATGGGCCAACCTGTCAGCAATTAATTTCTAACCTCGACTAAAAACTTCGAACACGGCACTGGTACAGAGCACACTTTTATGCAGATAGGGCATAAAAGCATATCTTTATCATCTTGGAGTTCAAGATAGGAGACATAACCAACTTACTGTGTGGAAATGCTGCATCAAAGGATGTATAGTAAAAGTAAAATATATTGCTGGCATATATATAGGAAAAGTAAACTATATCACTGGCAGATTAAGAGTAAAAGTAAACTATATCACTGGTAGATGTAAAGGAAAAGTAAAAGGATCGATGACACTACTCCAGTCACCTATGTGCAATTTTCGGGGCTGTTATTTGTGACTTTACAGTTTCCTTCTCTTCACATGTGGGTTCCCTTCAGGTATGTAAGAATGGAGTATTACTTTTTATACAACACAGTTGTTCAGAGATGTCACTCTTGACAGTTTCACTTTTCATGGAAATGGCAAGTAGGTACATTGGTATGGCTGCCTCATTGGAGGATGTATATTAAAAGTAAAGTATATGTGAAAGATTTTGTTGTTGTTGACACCTGAGCTTTCTATTATTTCCATACTTTAGTGATGATGATGTTACATCCGGACAAATGGGACGAAAAACTGCTGAGAAACCCAGTGATAACACAAACATGGGAAAGAAAGACAAAAAGAAGAACAAGGGGAAAGCTGATGACGATGAGGACCAGTAAGTTTAAAAAGTTTTTGAAGGTGTATTCTGGGTGCATTTAATTTCGTTCTCCCCGTGTGGGTTCCGGGACCCCATTCTGGGGGGGGAAAAGATTATACCCACAACTTTTTAACAAGCATGTCCTGAAAGGGTGACTGACTAGGGATTTTTCCTGTGAAGTCAGAGCACATCTGCCTTAGAGGCGAGGAACCTACGGTCTGCATACAAATAAGCATATCTGTAAAACGGGTATACGCACAAAATTCACATTCTGAAACAAAACTAAAGTCGAGAAGGGAATGAACAACCAGAAATTTCCGCTGAAGTTATCTGGTTAGCAGGAAGAAGAAGAAATTCATTGATTTATATGAGGAGCAGCTGGCCTAAATGATAGAATGCAGGGCTCTCATTCGATAGGCCCAGATTTATATCCTCGGTAAGGTGAGTTTTTTCACCCCTCTCCCCCTTCCCTGCTGAAACTGCCATTACTGCTTGTGTTTACCAACCTTTGCTGTATGGGCGGGTGGGGTCTTTGAGCCTGAGGATTTAGAGTCGCATGACTAGTGCTATAGCTATGGACTGTTCAGATTTTATTTTGCCTCCGACAGAAAAAATTCCCACCTTACAGAGGATTTTAACCTGAATATCCTACCACCCTAAAAATGATAAATGAAAATAAAGACAGATTTTCAGGAATGTTTGCTAATAGAAGTAAGCCATTAGGGTCTCGATACATGATATTCCTAAAGACACCCGTACATGCACATACCCATTGCAGCCACCCTTCATTGTAGGAAAGCACACATTTGTTGTTGTTGTGTGACAGCAAGACCTTCTCCTGTGTCTACCATCAGAGATTGTGGAGTATCGGGATAAGTATAGGGTTTTCACCACATTTTGTACATTCAATGCACAGTTTCTATCAACAACAACAAGCAGCGGTCAGAATGACTGGAGAAAAAAAAAATTGGTTGAAGATGCAAAAGGACATGAGAATAGAGGCATTCTCGCATCATACCTTTTCAATAAATATCAATAAATATATATATAAATACACACACACGAAAAGTATTGATCCCTTTTCACACCTTTAGGCGCATCAGGGCATATGGGAAGAGCACCTATAATTTTACAGACCAATCTGCACTAGGTGGGTAATGTGGTTAGCATTACCCCAGCTGGCTTTACTTCCCAAGGACATAATCCTGGTACCCATTTTAGGCTGGGTTGCCTGCGATGCCCCATACCATGATAACAGCAGTGGGTTTCGATGGCAGTACGTTAGAATTACGAGTCGGACTTGCAACGCCTAAGCCACAGATACCGCATACATAGACATAACATAATGAGAATTTTCAAAAATGACCAGACTTAAGACAGTTATTATCCCTCATTACTGGTGACGACCCTATTCCGTAACATTATTATGCACATGAAACAGTCCTCATTTTGAATAATGTAAAGGGAATATAATATTTAATCATGTCTGTTCAAAAACACAGTGAAGATTAAAACCTGTCCCTGAATTTAAAGGAAACAAAAAATGTGTCCACAGACAAATGTTTGACATTAAAAAATGACCAAGAAGATGAAGAAATGGAAAATTTCACAAACTTTGAATATCTAGGCTCCATAAAAAAACAGCAGTGGAGGATGTTCAACGGAAATCAGAAGGAGGATGTCCAAAGATTCAACGGCATTAAATGTTTATAGTTAAAACATCAGCAAGGAAATCATGTCTATATTTTGAGAGCATGCATCTTTCCTGTAGCAGCGTACAAATGAGTCATGGACTATCTCCCAATCCTTAAGAAAGAACACAGGGACTTTTCAGCTGAAATGCTATAAAAAGATTCTCTGGATACCATAGACAAAGAAGAAATAGAAATACTGACATTCTAAAAGATCTTAACTTTATTTAGGAAGATTGGCTAGTAAAGTGCATGTTGTCTCAGATACTGAAATATTTTAGCGGATTAAAAAAAAAAAATATAGCAGAAGGCATGGTACCAGGAAAAGAGGGGCAGGGGCTGACCAGCACTAAAAAATGGGCACTGGGTATAAGGGACACCTTGGGTAGAAAAGTGCATGAGGCGGGAGAGCTGGCGGAGGTCGAGTTTCTTTCAGGCAGACCATGTTGAGAGCATCTATCATGGAAGATCATCCATGTTAGATTTAAAGGAAAGTACATGAGGCAAAATGATGTGGATAGACATGACTACCAGTGCTACACCACATGGACTTTAAGAAGAAAAAGAACCTTCACACAAAGAATAAGAAGGCCATACAAATTTGTCAGAGTGAGTAGGAGATCTAGTCAGATTCTCATTACCTCAACAAATTAATGTTGCAGCTACAAAGCCCTCATCAATTGACTAAAATAAAAAAAAAATGGACAGTGTTGCAGTAGCAGTCGAGCCTATTCTGTTTGGGAATAAATGGCTGAAGAAGTAGTATGATGATGATTCCCTCAGTTTCCTCACACACTTTTACATTCCACTTTTCCATCTTACTTGCAAGCTTATTGACATATTTATATGGATAAATACAAATAGTGATGATATTTTAATTTTCCTTTAGTGATGATGACGAATCTATAACTGGGAAGAGTGACCACAAGGCCAGCGATAATACAAGCAAGAAAGATAAGAAAAAGAAGAAAGGGAAAGCAAAGGATGATGATGATGGTGATTTGTGAGTTCATTTTAATAGCTCAGTTGTAATAAAATATGCTAAATATTAACCCTGCTGCCCTGAGAAGCCAGACAACTTGGTGATGTGTTTACGAGATGCATAGTTATGCTTTTGGTTGTGTTTGCTTTTGCGCAGTGTCTAGAAGGTATGGATATAAATATATATACTAAAAATAGCATTCAGGCTTATTAAAAAAAAAAGAATAATTGGCCACTTTTTGTTTTGCAGTGTAGCTTGCTTGGGCCTGATCCCAAACCTATCTCGATAGGCAGGAGATAGGGCAATCCTGCAGCAAATGTTTGAGAGTCTGCCTATTGCTCAACAGTGACAAATAGCAGATTTTAAAAAAATGCTTATTTTGTATAAGTGTGCTCTAAAAGCAGTGTTGCGACTAAAGACTTGAGAGAGAGAGAGAGAGAGACTCACGTGCGCACATACACACACGCCCAAAAAAATTTCTGTTGGTTTCTTGCCTCTAAGGCAGATGCACTCCGACTTCAAAGGAAGCCTTAATTAGTCGACTCCTACAACATGCTTGTAGAGGAGGCGGTCGGTATATTCTTGTTTTCCTCATAATGTGGCCCAAAAACCCACACAGGAAGAAAAATGTATTTCTTCTTATCCTTCATTAACTGGTTCCTGCGCAGAATATAGGAAATTAAATAGTATGATAGAATCACTAATATAGAGCTCTGGGAAAGAACTAAAAGTGGACCAAAAGGTGAAGAACAGATGCTGACTTTGGATAGGATACACGTTGAGAAAACCTGAGAACAATATAACTAGAATGTCTTTGCACTGGAACCCACAGGTGCATAGGAATAAAGGAAGATTTAAAAAAAACTTGAAAAGGGAGCTAGAAAGTGAAGTTTTAAAGGAGGGAAGGGCATGGAAAGACCTGCATGCGATAGTGAAGGATAGAACAACTTGGTGTGAATAGATTGAGGGCCTATACTACATTGGCAAAGCAGAAGAAGAATCAGTAAATATAAATAGGGTGAAGCATTAAATCAAATCAATTCCCCAGGGCCTTAAATTAAAACAACAAATGTATCAGGTGACTCATCAGATGTATCAGGTGACCTCTATCACTCCTGTTTTTGGGAAAATTTAACACCAACTTGGTTTTAAAAATGCTTTGTGGCTCAAAACGCCCCCCCCCCCCCCTCCCCCCTAGGCTATTGACATTTACTTGGGATTGGACACAACTGGAAGATTTATGGTTTTTTGGCTTCTTGCGGTGAAAGGGTTACAGTTATTTAACTGTTCCTTTTTTTTTTTTAAATCAGTATCAGTTCACAATTCTCTCCCAAATTTTTTTTAATGTGTTTCAAGATCAAGTCATTTTATTCTCTTAGACAGTGCTGTAATCAGTTCATTTCTGTCCTAATTGCTAGTGATGATGATGAAAAAGTGGCAGACAAAACCAACGAGAACACGGCCATGAGCAAAAAAGATAAAAAGAAGAAGAAGGGAAAAGCACGGGATGACGATGATGATAGGCAAGTGTAATTGTTTTCAGTTTGTCTTGATTTGGTCCTCTTTCTTCTTTTCCAGCTATGCCTTTCTGCCTTAGGTAAGGAATAGTTTTTAGGCTTTGGACAAAATAGCTTCTCACAGTTTCCAGATCTTGCTGTTTCCTAGCATCTGTAGGAAATGCTTTGCTACTACTACTTTTACACATCTGCTTGTTTTAATACTGCTGCTACTTTTTCCTCTACTTCTATGACTACTGTTGCTACTTTTCCAGACTTCTGCTACTACTGCTGCTTCTTCTTTTCCCTCTACATTTGCTACTTTTCCCCCTCTGCTACTACTAATACTACTAACACTTCTTCTTTTTCCCATTACTACTACATTGCTGTTGCTACTTCTTTTGTCTCTACTACTGCTGCTGCTGCTCTTCTTGTTCGCTAGCTTTAAATTGGTATAAATTTGTGGTTTTTTGTTCGGTTCTTATTACGATGTCTGGCCCAAATACACACTGGTTGACTTTTCAGTCAAGCTTGCTCAGCTTGTCTGTGTTACAGGGGTGTCAGGTTGTATTGTGTCCGATGCTATCACCGGCGATGACACATGTATTATATTATATATTACACAATGTGACCGCTTTTAATGACCCTAAATCTAGAAATGGCCCTAACCCCAACTAATCTACCCAACAGCCTCAGCCTACTTTCCACAAGAGAGTGCAGCGTACGACCCATGGTTTTAGAATTGTTAACATTTTATGGTAAGTAAATTCATGCCATACTTCAAGTCCAAGAAAGCTATAGTATATGCAACATCACCGGCCTATGCTCTCAACATTTAGTAAAAACGCAGTGTCACCGGCCGCTGCTCACAACAACGAGTAATACACATGTCACATATCACTCCTGTCACGTGCCTGATATAAGGATTTCTCCTTCAGAACCAACAGCACTCAGAAATAATTATGTTGAGTCGTTTGGCTCGTATTGGTCTAGGGTATTCCCCGTGGCCAATATACGCTCAACTTATTTCTGGAGTAGGGCAACTCAAGTATTGGCACTACAAAATATATCTGTATATGAATACAATATTCCTAGGCACACTTGGCTGGACACCCCCACTACTTACTAAAGAAAGCCCCCGGGTTATGATAATTCACTTAAAAAGGTGAAAGACACCTAAGTCAGCCATGAAAATGAATGCATGTAATCAATACAACATATACATATATATATAATAGTGAAGTAAATGCCAGATCTCAATAGCTGGATTCCAGAATACAATGTCCAGATTGCAAAGATAACTAAACAGCCATAATGATCTGGAGATGACACAAATTCATCCTTGGGAAACATGGGAGCTGTGAGGAATATAGCAAAACATGGCATCAAACTGGCACTTATCCTCTTTCTATCATTGATGCTTCCCTCAGCTCCTGATGATTCGACTGTCTTTGGTAATTCTGATTCAACTGGATCAGCTGGTGAAGGAGTACCTCACCATAAAGGACACAGCAACTGGATTGGCACTTAACAAGTCTCTCCCGCTAGTCATTCGCAGCACTGTCCCTGAGCTACACACATGCTCTGGCACTGTAGGATGTTTGGGGTATATGGCACCCCATCTTGAGGATGGCAGTCTTCACAATTGGTAGTTGGGTGATAATTAGTAGGTAATAGGTTGATGGTTGGTTGGTTGGTTGGACTGTGATTCTTCTGCCAGCTCTTCACAAAGGTTTCATCCTGCCAAGAAAGAACTCAGAATTAGTCATCACCAAGAGGGTAACATCTTGACAGGAAAGACAGAATAAGTATCAGTCACCATCCCACATCAGCCTACTCCACCTCTGCTCCCCTGTTTCATTCCTCAGAGTGCACTCTCAAGACCAGGAGACACTGTCTCCTATCATTCATCTGTCTGTTTAGTGCAAGAGATGGAAAGTCAGATATATAGTGGAGATAGACACTCTAACACATATATCAATCTCTCTCCCCCCTCCCATCTGCACACAGACACCAATAATTACCGTCAGTACCTCTATTCCCTACGACTCTCAAGCCAGTCCCACACATTCATTGATCTGGGTCAAACACACTCACGCACTGGCTGACCAAGTCCTGACCTAAATTCTCTTTCCCCATTTGTATGCACAAACTTCTGTTGTTAGTTTAAATAGTACACACTTGTAAGGTTATTAGTTTTACCAGTATGTGTGGGTTATTTAGGGCATAGGCTATTTAGTCTGTACAGAGGAAGGTCTAAGTTCGAATCCGCTTCTCTAGCGATCAAGAACGGTCGAACTATGTGTGATCCCACAGCCGATACTGATCTCTCTACAGCAGTGACCACTTAAACAGACATCATTTTAGGTACTTGTAAACTATAATTAACTTACCCAAGCATAGGAAAAGTCCTAGGCGCCACAGACCGCCTTTTTAAAATGAAATGTACTGGCGTCGATGGACACGTCTGAGTTCCAGGAAAGCCAGCAGAATAATACCGCTAAATTTCAATTCAGGCGTAGGTAAGAAGTAGTTCTTTGTATACAGGAGCAAGGAGTAAATTGGTTTCTAAGAAACCTCAAATAACTCCAGTAATATTTCCCCAATAGTTGCAAATTTGAAAATGACGCTAAGTCAAAGCAACTAGAAGATGTAGATATTATAATTATGTCCGATAAAGGCATATATCGATATAAGGGACTATATACCTTTCCGGTCGAGTCCAAGTTTGAATGTTGTGTCGAGCACAGGTAAGACAGTTCTCAACTCTGTTAGGGTGATGCGTAATGGCTTATCATTCCACGACAACACAACACAGAAAGCTTTACGAAGACAATACAACATGACACCCCTGTAACATAGGCTAGCCTGAGCAAGCATGAATAAAAGATCAACCAGTGTGTATTTGGGCCGGACATCGTAAAAAGAACCGTTTGTTCAATTCTGGACATTGATTTTGTTCAAGAACTTGAATTTTGCATGGACATTCATATTACAGATTTCTATTTTGGCATTGATTCCTGAACAGTCGGTGCTTTATACCATTGTCGATATTAAGGCAAGGTGGTTTACTGCCAATTCACCTGTGACTGGAATATTTTGGAATTACAAACCATGTTCGCACAATAAAAGCAATCAGGCATTTCAATTACCAGATTATTTATGTACTTATTTTTATCTTCAGTGAGGATGATGCCACAACTGGAAGAATGGATCACAAGCCAGCTGAGAAGGCTGACAGCACAGGTATCAGCAAGAAAGACAAAAAGAAAAAGAAAGGAAAATCAAAGCATGACGAAGATGATGATGACAGGTCAGTAGATTTTCTCTCTTTTTCAAAAAACCGTTTTATCCCCTTTTGTCTCTGTGTGTGGTTCTCCATTGTTTCTGTCACAATTTTTCTGTTGAATCATTCCTTCCTCTTCTAATCTGCCTTTCTTTTTATCACTGTCTCTGGCTCCCTTTATCTTTCTCCCATTACCTTTCTGTTTGTCATCAAATTTTATAGTTTCTCTTCATCTAATTCTCTGTCCTTACCTCCCTGCTTTGTCCTTGTCTCTTTTCCTTTATTTATTTCTGTCTTTGTCCCTGTCTGTGCCTCTATTCCCTCTTCCCTCTATTCCCTCCCTTTATTTGTTTTAATTCTGAAGGAGTGTGAGGGGATGAAAGAGCAGGTTTTTGGGGGGGGGGGGGTGTTACAAAAGGGATAACTGCAGGAACACTCGGACAAAGAAGACATTCTGAAGATCATTTTTGGATGACTGCTGATAGAAGATACAGGGTTAGGTGCAGTAACGTGTTAAGAATGTGTGAACATGGAACTAGGATCTGGCAAGGAGAGATGTATGAGAGATAGAGAAAGACGAGTGTATAATCAAAGTGCTACAAGAAAGGTTAGCATCAACAGCTTAGCTTAAGTCATTTGCTGGGGGAGACGGAGCATCTATGGGTATGCCCCATGTGTCTTTCTCTATCAGTGTTGTCCTTTTTTTTTTAATTGTCTTCATTTTACACACTGTCCCTCTGACATAATATCTTCTTATAGTGCATGTGGTGTGCCATTTGTAGACATTTCTATCCAGAGTCTTTTCTCTCATGTATTCTCAGTAACTTTCCTACTGTCACGATGATGTACTTGAGTTTCTCCTTCTGACATGACCAGTTGATTTTTCTCCTTTTGATGTGGGCACAATTCTTTGTTTTCTCTTCGAGAGACATTTTCTTTACTCTTTTTATCAGTCCTGAGCATTCCCATCGTTCATCTAGTAAACCTATATGTATTGTTTCTGCACACTCCTGCAGTAGTCTGCTGTGTGATTCCTTTCACCTTGTTTTTTTTTCCTTCAATGATCAATTAGCGAGGACGACATAGTGACAAGCAAAACGGACCACAAACTCGGCGGGAAGACCGGTGAAAGCACATCAGCTGGCAGCAAGAAAGACAAGAAAAAGAAGAAAGGCAAGGGAAAAGATGATGATGATGACGACGACGACGAAGATGATGACAGGCAAGTAATGTGTTTTTACTGATGAAAGTGAAGTAAAGGACCACTATCATGGCAGTGCTGCATCGGGTATGTGATGTTCAACTCATTTTTATAGACCAGTGGGCACTTGGTGGATGATGGATGATTTGGTCAGCATCATGCTGGCTGCATTTGCTTCACAGGGCTTTACCTGGTACTTAGTTTAGAGTTGAGGTCATTGTGGAAGAAAAAGTCAAGACTTGTTGGGGATTTGAACCCCCTACCTTCAGGCTGAAGGCAATTGTCTAGCCACTCAAGTACCTTAGGCCCGATACTTTTAAGGGGGCTGAGCCTCTGAATCCCTCTGTAGGTTAGGGGCTGTCTCTAATCACAAACAAATGTTCTCTTTTTAAGTGTTTGTTTCGATATTACATATTATTTAAAATGTATTATTGTTATTTGCCTGTCAACACATAATAATTATATTATTTTTGCACAATTAAACAAGGCTTGGGGACCTTGTGAACCCTGCCTCCTAGAAAATTTTAAGGTGGCTAAGTTCTCTCCCACCCAAGGTTTCTTGGTGGCATCTCACCTGACGAGTCTGCCTTCAAGGCATCAGGGAACCATCTCTTTTTGTCTGGTCCCTGTCCCTTGACTTCGGCAACATGGCAGATTCTAGCAATAAAAAATAAATAAAAATAGCTGGGAAAGCAAATTGGACCTGTGAACTAAATGACACGAAAAGTTTAACCTTAGCAAGCAAAAGCTGTACAAGTGCGAAAATATTATCAAGCAGTTGGGCCTTTACCTATATAGGACCTGAGGTTACACTTGCCCATGTAGTTGTTATTGGTGTTCTTATTATAATAAAGGTTCTTAATTTATAACGTACCCCAAACAAGAAATCCCTGTGGGAAATCCACAGCTGACCTGACAGTCCATTATATCAAGGGGTGCAAGTGTGCTGTTTTTTTTTTTTTTTTTGAGTGTTCATTTAGTGTCTTCTAATCCTAACCATAACCCTAACCCTAAACTTGGCTGTAGAGAAATCGCGAGAAACTACAATCTGAACACTCTAGAATTTATTGGGAATGTCTCCCGTGACGTTGTCGTGACGTCATGTTTAAGTTATAAATTAAGTACCATAATAAATGTCCTGGAGGTTGAGCAGGGTGTGTGGGCTCTACCTTGTTGGTCTGCCTTCCAGATTGAGATTTTTAAATCTAAGGAATGTATGGTAAACCTGCAGGTAACAGACCAGAGGATACAAACTGATCTATCTCAGGGATGATACAATAGCTGGACAGAGATAAGATGAACTTCTTATACTTCCTTCTAGGGAGATCCATACTAAACTCAAGGCCCTATCCCTGAAAGGAGATGATGACATGGACGAAGACGATGTACCAGTCTTAGCCGCAAAGAAGAAAAAGGTTGGTCCACTGTTTTGGATAATGTTTTCAGTTTTTTCGTACTTCCTTTTTATAAAGGCAGACTGCTGCGAGAGAGGGGGGGGGGGGGGGGGGGGGGGGGGGTATGAACACAGTTTCGTGATTTGGCAGCAGACCACTTTTGATTGATTTTGGCAATGGTATGAGCGCTAACTGCTCAGAAGAAATGGCACACTACTCAACAAAATATTTCTTAGTTGAACCACAAAGGATCAACAAAGGCTGTAGTTGGTTTGCAGCATTGTATAAAACAGTGTTCTTCAATACACATGGGCCACCCCAAAAATTATGCTTAATCATGTATCGAGGTAGGGTAGGTGGCATTTCTCTTCCAATCTGTAGGATTACCACCTCACAGACTTCTTGTTTGTGTGAAAAGACTTTCTCAGGCATGACAGTCAAAAAAAAAAGTTTAAAAAACCATAGAAATCAAATGGATGTTATTTTAGCGTATCAGCTGTCAGAAACAAAGCTGCAGTCACACATTTCACACATTGTTAACCTCTGAGCAGCAGCATATGTCGCATTAGCTCTCTCTCTCTCTCTCTCTTTCTCACACACACATACTGTCTACATTTTTGTTTGTTTCTGTGATTGAAAAATAGGCAATGAAACAATATACCCAGTTTTAGTGTACAGCGAAACAATGTACAATGTTTAGTGGGCCGCAAAACAATGTACCATGTTTTAGTGGGCAGCAAAACAATGTACCATGTTTTAGTGGGCCGCAAAACATTGTACCATGTTTTAGTGGGCAGCAAAACAATGTACCCTGTTTTTGTGGATCGCGAAACAGTGTACCCTTTTTAGATGGCTGCAAACAATGTACCCTGTTTTACTGAGATGTGAGAAAATGTACCCTGTTTTAGTGGGCCGCGGTTATAAAAAGATTGAGGAGCACTAATGTTAGGGACATGCCACATTTTCCCAGAAAGAATTGTCTGCCACTGGTTTCTTCTAAAACCTATTCTTGGTGTATTTTGTCTGGGGCGGACATTACCTATCATTAGAACAGATTCCTCTTTGACATCTGATATTTGAATGAACTATATTATTCTTTGCTACTTTTTTCTTGTTAGCATTCACCGGCTGTAGATTTCAGCAGAAGCTTCTGCCTGCTCATCCGCTTCTGGTCTTTAGTCTTAATTAAGAACTTGAGCTTTGCGTGTACATCCCTTTTACAGATGCGGCTTATTCATATCCATCTTTTGGTTCCTTGCCTCTCAGGCAGATGCACTGGAAAAAAAAACGTCCCTAATTAGTCACCTTTTATGACATACTTGTTGGGGGGAGGGGGGGGGGTGCAGTGTCTCTGTTCTTTGTTCTCCAGAATGGAGCTCGGACCCCACACTGGAAGTTTGTAACTTATGAGAAGAGTTAAATTCAAAAATGTAAAAGTGGTTAGAAGTTCATGATACATAAGGTGGTGGAGGGACATGATTAAAAACACAGCAAGGCATGGATGGACTGAGAAGAAGCAGCACTCAGCTATTTAAACTTTCCACGTGCACCATCCTTGACACCCTCTGTCTTTCATTTACATAACTTTTGTTTATAAGTGTCATTTGACTTTTCCTTACAGTTTTATTGCACTTTTTTGTCTTATATTATCACGAAGCAAACAGAAGGATCCATTCCAGAGATCTCTTCCTGCCCTGACGCCACAAGGCATTTCAAGAGCAGAGAAAAGAAGAAAATTATCTTATTACTTGCTCGTTGACCATGCTGCTTTTGTAACTAAACTGTTGAAACTTTCCACATACACCATACATGACTTCCTCTGTATTTCTAATAATTTACTCACGGATTGCTAATACCTCATTCTCCCATCTTTTATTTATAAATTTCATTGGACTTTGTCTTAGGTTTTAATGCTCTTTTTTTTTTTTTGTCTTTATCTTATTACTGGCTCATTGTCCATGCTGCTGTTGTAACATTTCTTTTATATTTTGTCCTTCAGGAAAAGAAAAAAACCACAGGAATGTCTGCATTCCAGCTGCTTGGAGAGTTGGATGATGATGTGGGAGCTGGAAGTGATGCCGATCAAGTATGTTGTCAGCCTAGGATTAAATAAAAACTGTTGTTACTGCCTGTCTGTGCCAATTTTTAGGGTGGTGTAAGGCAGGAAGGTCTTGAGCCTTATGATTTAGGGCTGCATGGCTAGTGCAGTTGCCACAAACTCTGCAGATTAGGGTTTGATTTTTACCCTGCACAGAAAAGCCTTCTTAGCGAGGATCAAACTCAGGTCTCTCACTTGAGAGTCCAGTGTCTAACCATTCGGCCATGCGCACCTCGTTGGATTACAAAATTTGAAAAACAAAGTATGTGTTAGCTTTACGGAGCCGATTAAAAAGAAAAGATTAAAGATGTTACGATGACTAGCCTTCATCAGCAAACAGTGACAAGAAACAAAACCACAGAACACAAAATGATTGAGAACAAAACTACTTTGCAGTGTTCAGCTATTATGTGAACAATCAGACATGCATTCTGACTTCGAATAAAACAAACCTAATTAGTAGTCTTGTATGACATACTTGTTAGGGAGTTCAGTGATTCTCTTCTTTTTTCCTCTAAAATGGATAGCCGGTACTCACATGGGGAATGCCAGTTTATTAATTGTGTTTATTTATTAAAAAATATGACTTTTTAAAAATATAAATAGTGACATCAGAGTGTTCATTATATTGCCTGGTGCATTAGACAGATTTGTTGCTGTCTCCACAGTGGACATTGGCTGCTGTGCACCCACCAATGACTATAGGAGTACAGTGTTCTTCTTTTGCGTTTACCAGTTGTAATCTCCAGCAGAAAGTTCTGGTTGTTGGTAGACGTGTGGACTTTATAGTCTTGTTCCAAAACTTGTGTTTTACTTGTACATCTGTTTTACAGATCTGACTTACTTATATGCAGACTATTGGTTACTCACCTCTCTGTAGATGCACTCTGAAAGAACTATAAGAATACAGTAAAACCTTGCTTAGCACAATTCACTTAAGAAGAATACTCCGTTAAGATGAAACATTTTGGGGGGGGGGGGGGTGGGAATCCCTGTAAGGGTATATTAATTCTAGTCCCCAGTTATCCCCATTTTTTTTTAAAAATATGAGGACTTGATTTTTTATTCCCTTAGGATCTGTTTTTGCAATGTTTTAACGAAATACATGGCAAGGCCCCAATCTCTTGCGTGGTGCAACTCTCATATTGCTCCAAAAACCTCTGGAACTTTTTTTTTTCTACACTTCACAGAAATCTAACCCTGATAAATGTTGAGGATTGTTTTTTGGAATAGAGTTCACTAACCACTTGGTCGCAGAGTAATATGTTTTGCTAATTATTGCATTCACTTTTATCATTTAAATTCACAAGAAGAAAATCTTTTGAACTTATTTTCTCATTTATTTTTCCCAGACTGATGATGACAAGAGTGTCAAAGAAGAGATTGTGTTGGAGAAGGTGGCATCTGAATCCAGCAAACCCAAGAAGAAAGAGAAAACAAAGAAAAAAGAAAAACCGAAGAAGCCAGAGGATGACGATATTGATGCTATCATGGCAAGCCTTGAAGAGACAAGCACAGAGAAGAAGAAGGGAAAGAAGAATAAGAAAGCTGAAGAGGACAAGTCTGTAGAGGAAGAATTGACAGTCAGCGAAGCTAAAGAAGTGGAGAAAGTGGAACCGAAAGTTGTGACAATTGATGATCTAGATGTTGATGATGGTGAGTATGAGAAGAAAAGGAAGAAAAAGGGAAAGAAAGGTGGACAAGCAGTGGAGGAGGCAGTGAAGGAGGAAGCTGGGGGTGAGAAGAAAGAGGCAGAGGATGAGGAAGGTGATGATGATGATGGGGGCACAGTGAAGTCTGCTGCTCAGAAGAGGAAGGAGAAACGAGAGAGGGAGAAGCAGAAGAAGCAACAGGTGAGTGTGTTTCATATGGGTGTGTGCGAAGGTTTAGTGGGTTGTGTGTGTAGACGTGTATGATTATGTAAGGGTGTGATATGGGTGGAGTGTGCTTGGTAGATGTGGGTTTGTATGACTGATGCTGTGGGGTGTGTGTTTGGTTAACATGAAGGTGTGGTTGGTTTTGAATTTGGTAGGTGCAGTGGTTTGGCGGGCTGTATGTTTGGCTGGTATGGGAATGATGCCTGGTTGTGTTAGCTTGGGAATAATGCATTATTGTTTGAGAGTTGGAATAAAGTGCCTTGTGTGTCAGTGAAGGTTTGGTGCTTGTAGGGGAGTGGGGAGGTATGGTTGATGTGTGGGTAAGTTGTTTGAGGTTGGGCTGTAATGGATCTCCATCTGTCTCTCTCTGCTTTTGTCTCTTTCTGTCCCTCTTTCTCACATATATCTTGTTTGTATACTATTTGAGACTGCTGTTCGTCCACCCCACCCAGTTTATCAATGTCTGCCTCATGTTTGCTTTCGGCTTTTATGAATATTTTGGACAGACCTGTATATTTAATTTGTCTTTTTCTTCAGCTTAAGAACCTCTGTATTTGATTATTTTTCTAATTTTGTAATTGCTTGTTCCTTGTCCAGGACTCTCTACAGTAGGAAATAAATATATATTTCAAGCATTATTCCATTAGTGTGGACACAAACAATACATTGCACAATTTTATTGCCTGGCATATCTGGTTGTTTATCATCAGGCGCAGGACCACAGAGTTACCCTGACACATAATAAAGAACAAAACACCAATCCTTACCAATGAACAAATCTGTTTGTCTATTGTTACTCTGTATATCTCACCAGTGGAAATTCATGATTAGCCATGTGATTACTGTGGAAGTCTGTTATTAACTACATGATCCTTTTGTTTACACAGTATATTTCCTATTGTTCCATAGGAGAAACATAAGCAGAAGAAGCCTGGCAAAGACGAAGGAGAAGCGGAAATCAAAAAGGATGAGGTGGCCACAGAAACTAAAACAGAATCTGGTTTGGAAGCTGGGAAACCTGTGGAGGATGCTTCTATTAAAGAGGGGACACCAGAAGGTCAGACTGCAGAAGGAGATGATGTTGAAGGTCTGTTCATTCTGTTTAAAATGATGATGATATTTATTTTTATTTAGATATGACATATTTGAATGAAAAGATTGATTAACTAATCAGTTAACTAATTGGTTCCTCCAATCTTAAATGGGTATAGCAAAATTATCTGGGAAGTAAAGGCAGCTGACATGATATTGACCACATCACCCATTGAGTGCAGGTGATGAAAACCTACAATGGTTTCATTTCCATGATACAACCTATTTTTCTTAGCTATACTTCTGCAGTACATCATTTCCACTTTCTAATTGATTGTTCATCTTTAAGTTTTATGCTAAAAATTGTAAGTCTCATCTCCGGACTTTGTAAACTCAGATAACACCTGCATTAAATGGGTCTAGCTCAGTGTTTCCTAAACTTGTCTTGGTCGCAGCCCCTTTTTTTCAATTAAAATTTTTCCATGGCGCCCTAACCTAAGTAAAAGTATGACTATTTGTCGCTTGTTTCAATTAATTATGAAGCTTCTACAATATTTCGTGGGTTCCTGTTAAGAGGTTGCTGCTGCGCACAGTTTTGAATCACTGGTCTAGCTAACTACTGCATGTGGTTGTGGCTCACTCAAGCAAACTCCAGAGCATGTCTTACAGGATTGCCCAGACTTTGCCATTCATTCATTCATTCAGTAGCATGTCCCTCGCGGAACCTGGCTGCCATAACAACCCTCCCGAAAACCTTCCTATCCTGAGCAAGATGTCCTGCGTCTGATACACCCATCTGGAGATCATCTGCCACATCCTGCACCCATCTTCTCCTTGGCCTTCCTCTTCCTCTCTTCCCAGGCATATACCCCTCCATTATTGTTCTCTCTAGACTTCCATGACGTTTCAAGTGACCAAAATATTTCAATTTTCTTTGTTTTATTGTCTTTACTAGCCAACCCTCTTCAATATTCAGCTCTTGAAGTATGGATGCATTTGTTCTTTTCTTTACCCAAGATATTCTTAGAACCTGTCTGTAACATTTATATTCAAATGCATTTATGCGCTGTTCCGCTTGTTTAGTAAGTGTCCAGGTCTCACAGGCGTATGTTGCAATGGGAAAGATGCATGCTCTTAAAAATCTGACCTTTGTAATTCTATCTGTACAATTCCATAATTTATTCAGTTGTTTTAGTCTTTGAAGAGCAATTGATAGTCGCCGTTTAATTTCTTTCATTGTGTCACCATTGTTGGTAACCAGTGACCCAAGATATTCAAAATTTTCCACCACTTCCAATGTCTCTTTGCCATTCAGAGAGAAGAAATCTGGCCCACAGATCCTACAAGATAAACTGTGGGGCACCAGTCAAGGCCCTAGGTGCATCATCCTGTTTATGACTCATGTTGGAAACAGTGATCGCTGATGAAGATGTAGAACTGCAGTTCGACCATTTTGATTTATATATGTTTACTGAAACTAAGATGAGGATAAGGAACGGATACAAGCTTTGACTACATGCAGAAAGATAATATAAAAATCAAAAGAACTGAAACATCAACTACTTGGTACAAACTTCACCTGCTCAAAAATACTAAGAGAAAGAATATGGTCCAATGGTAAGGTATCTGGTAGTCTTGGTTTCAGCTTCATAGCAAACGGGTCACCGCATAGTTGCTCTACTTCTGTGCCAACGAAAAACACACAAAATGTTCATCAGAGTCCCTTGTGGAAAGATTGACAGACTGCTGTCTTAGCATATGCACTAGCATACACACACATTAAAAGCATACGGTAGCCATCTGAAGTGCTAACACAAACAGTCTGACATTAGAAATGCAGTTCATCATGGATGGTAGCAGAAGTCACCAACAGATCAGCAGTTGCACACGCAATCAATTTTAATCACATAATGGCACCACCAATCTTGCGACAACAGGCATCGCGCTATTTTCTAAATCTACTATTCACACCACCACAATGGTCAAAGTAGAAAAGCATTCCAAATGAAATCAGCAGCTCACAGTGTCATGCCATGCACTCAACTCAGAAGCTAGGCAACAAAACTATCCTTTCAGTCTACAAATGGAGCAAAAATGCACAGGCCACTGTCTGGCAGAAGCAAACAAAATTTGCCGCGGCTCACAGCAGTGACCATACATAGCGTCCATTTTGACCATAAATAGTGAGGGTTTATTAACGGTCACCCCAGAAGTGCCCTCGTGCTGGGGAAGGGGCTAGGGGCGTATTGCCCATCAGCAAGGTGACGCCTCTGTACGACCTGACTGCCTTCGTTAGCAGTTGTGCACCCCACAATCGTGCACTTCTTTGGCACAAAGGTGACACCTTAAACTTGGGTTCTGGACTACTGACTCTCTACATGCTCACACGCGTGTGGTAATGGTGTACAAAAGTTATTATGTTTCTCATATATACCATTAAAGGTAAGGTATACTATGCCCTACAACATGTGTTAAAATCAAATTATCTATCTCCTAACACCAGGATCACAGTATATCAAACACTTTGAAGATTTTATGTCATATGTCGCTTATAATTTAAACCTGAGGTGAAACTAAAAATTGTCTATTACAAACTGTTCAGAACAGTCTTATCTTTGAACCTATCAGTGTGGTTATGTTATAACTACCAATGTCCCTGCACATTAGGCATTTTCATGCATGCTCAGTCCTCCAGGGCATCTCTAGTTTGTTTTCATTCACCGGCTGTAAACCTTGGTGGAAAGACCTGGTTGTTCGTCCATTTCTGGACTTTGGCTTTGTTTCAGGATCTGACTTCTGCTTGTGCATCCATTTTACAGATCTTGATTATTTGTATACAGACTTTTGGTTCCTTGTCTCTCAGGCCGATGCGTTCTGACTTTGAAGGAAGCCCCTAATTAGTTGACACTTACGACATGCTTGTTGGGAAGGCAGTGGGTTTATATTATTGCTTTCCCCACAATTAGGGCCCTGGAACCCTAACGGGGAGGCATCTCTAGTGATTGTAGTCGAGTAGTAAAAAAATCTTTGAACCTATCAGTAATGTAAGCAGCAGGGACAAACGGTGAGAAGCATTAACAAAATTCATTACCTGTTCGTATCCCCACTAATTACTGGCTTCATGACCAGGGGAAGAATCAACCAGGACAAACTTTGGGGAGCCCTCTGACACGTGCTACTGATGTGCTGGTTCATGTGATAACACATATGATAACCTGAGTGTGTTTTAACAAGTCACAAAGAAAAAGAAGAGACTAACTAATACACTGCGGTCGATGGAGTGTATAGAGAATTTTAAGATAACTAAGAGGCCAAATGTACATACATTAAAAGGTTGAAGAGGAGTAGCCTAGGAGGCAGACAAAGAAGACAGTGATGCATATAGACTCACCCACACTGGGTTGCAGGTTACTTCGTAGAAGACTGTGGAGAAATACAGTCATTGTATAAAATATAAACCCTTGGAGGTACCAGCTGGAAAAAGAAGGCCAACCATATAGATGAATGGAGGTGGGTGAAATCTGCAGTACTGAACCTCAAGGGCTCCGATTGCAGAAGAAGAAAATTGTTTGGCTCAACAATGCAGTGCTGTTCACTTTATGAGGAGTTTTTCATAGAGATTTTTATTTAATTTGTAATTTTTCTGTCATTCTGAATAATCTGATGAAAGGGAATGTTCTATTGCAGATGAAGCTAAAGAAGGGAAGAAGAAAAAGAAAAAGAAAGGAGAAAAAGTAGAAAAAGAGGAAAAAGCCAAACCTAACAAAAAGGTAAAGTTATACATTTAACATTTCTTCTTCTTTATTAGCCCTTGCAAGGGTGGTTGGCCTATTATGTTGTGATCTGCAGGTTGGCTGCAATATCTTTTGGCTCAACACATTTAATTTCAGCAAACCCAAAATTCGGTTTTTTGGGGGGAGGGGGTGGCGTGATAATTTTGTTGTTTTTTGGTTACCATAATTGGTTCCAGGAAACTACAAGGTGGTATGTAATTCTTTGGTCAGATAAACATGTTATGTAGTCTCATGGCAGATACTGAAATTGCAACCTCTGCACTGTATAAGCAGTACAGCCTTCAGAAGTTAAATCTCCCTCACCCACGTCTTCAAAGCTGGTCATGCTAGAGTAAAAGAAAAATGATGAGCAGACCAGTGGGTGAGTAGTATTGCACCACTGCATGCAGGAAGATGCATGGACATAGCTGGTGTCACCAACGCTGTCTGGACTAGACTGGAGGATAATGACGAATCACGTTGATTGTGAACACATAACTGCCATTGGGTTTGCAATGTTGGGCCTTTTGCACAGTATTTACCATGACATGTACAATGGTGTGGCCATTGCCTCTTATGTTGCCTTTTCTTCCCTAAGCAGTTCCCAGAAAATTATAGTAGTTATCTGGTACTCATTTTTTATGAGGTGTGGTTGTCTCCACGGCCTGACTTTTGTTGGAGTGGACAGGATATTTGCCCCACACGCTGAAGGTCATGGGTTTGTTTCCCTGGTGACTCAGTCAGTTCGTAAGCACTATTTTTATGGAGTTCCTGTTTTGTGCGATGCCTTTGTGGCCAGCTGTTCTGGAGAGAGACATATATGATAACCTGATGCAGTGAAGTTCGATCCGTTTGACTTCAACTGTGGGTGAAAATGTCTGGATGCCATTGATAACTGAAGCATAATCTGTTGCATCGAATATAGGAACAGTTTTCTTTAATTATTTGGGGTGTGTATTGCTTAGCCAATGGTCATCCAGTCGAATCTTATCAAACACATTTCTGCGGAGTCTGCAGTCACCACAACTTAAAATGAGTACCAGGAAAGAATCTGTTAAGTAATTGCAGCTGGCATAATATTGACCATGTACCCATTAATTGCTTATATGAAAACATTCTTCATTCCCTCACAGCTTGGCTTGCATTGTACTTCTGTTGGACCAGATCCCTTTAGACAAGACTAAATATGACAAAACAGAGTATGAGATCTGTATTTTTGGTCTCTGGCTTATTTGTATGCAGACTGTTTGTTTCTTACCTTTCAGGCAAATGCACTCTGACTTCAAAGGAAGCCCTAGTTGGTCGACTCTTACGACATACTTGTAAGGGAGGCAGTGGTTCTGTTTTAGTTTTCCCCACAATAGGGCTCCCGGAACCCGTATGGGGACCAAGCTGTTCCAAAATCTTCCCTCTTGGTCCAGCTTCCCCCTCAATTGTCCCTTACCCATGACATGCCCAAAGATTGAAGATTAGTTTTCCCTTACTGGCCCTAAATGTTGGCTCTCTGTTGCGAGTTGGGATTAGTTAAGGGCTGACATCACAACACTCTGGACAGTCCAATAAATGCTGTGTCCCCATCCTCAGCAGCCAGCGCAGACTTCCCAGTTCCCACTGTACTAGTAGCAGTATGATTGTGTGTCCGTCTTATCTTTTTGTTGAGTGTTGGCCTGATCGCAGGTCACTCCCCACTGCCCCGTTCTCTCCAGACCACAGTGATCTATTTCTCTGGTATTCAAGAGATTATTTATATGACTGTATATGTGTTAATATGTATTTTATGTAACCTGCTAACGTTTTTGTTTAAATAAATTAGTGGAGAGAAAGGGGGTGGGGAGTAATGAAGAGATGGATTCTTTAATGGTTTTTTTTTTTTTTTATCGTCAGCTTGCTTTGTTGAAAGAACATTTGAAAAAAATTCAAGAAGAAGAACAGAAGGCTAAGGAGGAAGAAGAACGACAGAGACTGCTGGAAGAAGAGAGGATCCATAAATATGAGGAACAGGTAATGTTTGCATTAAAAAAAAATATTTGGAACCACTAATTATTTTATTTCCGTTGTTTTGAATTGACTTCTATATTTCTCCAGAATTATGTTATCTTCATTTTCTATTAATCTGTTATTGTTTCTTTAAATATAGAAACACCTGGAATAATTGTATCTCTCTTGTTTTTAATTAACTACTATAATTTGCCATGTAGACCAAGTTGGCACACTGTGTTATGGTTGGGGTCCTGTTTCCTCCACCCCCAAAATGGGGTCCTGGAACTCATCGAGAATATTCTTGTTTCTTCAACTAATGAAATGACCATAATTTTTCGTATCTTATTAATTTTTTTGCTTCATAATTCCAAGGCACCCAGTTATTCCAACTGCTGTCACTTTGGCAATTGACCACTTTGTGTTGATTTCAACAGTTTTATTGTGAGTTGTTGTTCAGAAGCAATGGCAAACTAGTGAACACAAAATTGCCTAGTAAAACCAAACAGCCAAAATATGCTTGGATTGGTTCCTTAACATTCTGTAAAAGATGCGCTACTGACTGTTGTTTTTAGTGAACTTTGATAAACCTTATTTCTGTAACTAGAAACGGCTGGAAGAGGAGAGAAAACTGAAAAAGAAACTGAAAAAGAAAGAGCGCGAGGAACGATTGAAAAAGGAAGGCAAGTTCCTGACCGAGAAGCAGAAGCAGGATAAAAGACGACTGGAGCAGATGCTGGAGGCCATGAAGGAGGCTGGTATGTTGTTGTTGTTGTTCTTCTTCTTCTTTTTCTGCTGCTGCATTCCAAGCCCATGGGGTTCATTGCTGCAGATATTGCCCATCTGTGATCTGTGAATTATCTCTGATTGCCCTTCTTTGTCCACTTGAAACAGTTAGCCGCCCTCTTACAGCATAATTCCAATCAGCACAAAGAAACGTCTCATACAAAGCATATTCATTCCCACTCTACGCTACCGTGCCAGATATGGTCACGCACATAAACAGAAATGAGATGCCTGGGAAGGGCTGCAGGAGTGACTAGAAGAGATAAAATAAAAAGAAGAACAAAAAGGTTGGGACAGAACCAGTTCTAAATTACATACAATGGCAGCAAATCAGATGGTTTGCCCACATAGAATGCCATGTGATGCCGTACTGTACTAGGCATTGTCTAAAAGAAGAGGACGTAGAGCACAAGGAAGACCAAGAACAAGATAGAAAGATAACATCAGAGAAACACTACAGCAACACATTGTGTCGATGGTTGAGGTGGCCAGAAGAGTCAGTATCAGAACCCTATATCTCCATCACACACAAAGCGCTTAAAGAAGTAGTTAAGAATAAGTCTCCAGGTGTTTATAAGTCTGCTTGTATATTATCTCTCCGCAATCTTCTTGGTCTGCCTGAGTCTATTAAAATGAGTTAGTTTTATTTTGTAAATTATCACTTTTCGTTAGTTTACCCCCCCCCCCCCCCCCCCCCAGTTTGCCAATCCCACCCCCCTCCCCCAATTAAAAAAAAATAGTATGTGATATGCTCAATTTTTTTAGCCCTTTCTGTCCCGGTTTCAAAAGAATGATGTCCGTAGCATTAAAAGTCTGTGCTTAAACACCAGCAAGAAAATCACCAGAATCTTGAGAGCCTGCATCTTCCCTGTAACCACGTATGGATGTGAGTCGTGGACCATCACATGACCTCCTTTTTTGGGGGTTCTCCTAAATATAAAAAGATATATAAAGGGAGTAATGAGTAAACATGAAGAGAAGCATTAAATGAAATGCATTCCCCTAATACATGCCTAAAAAAATATATTTATTGACTTTTACCATGAGCCTGTGACATGTCATTGCGGTTTACTGGAGAATTTGATGTCAACTTAGTTTTTAAAAAAACTATTTAGTTTAAAGGAAAACACCCCCCCCCCCCCCTTTCCACACCGTCATTTCTATATTTAGTTGATATATTCACATATTCTGACCTCAGATGTTTGCACAGGTGCAAACACAGCCAATAGCATTAACTATACATATAAACAGGTCACTGTAGACAAGTCAGAAAGGAGAATTGGTCCCAGCTGGAATTGTCGGTTTTGCAACTTCTCAAGGTTCATTACTGACACACATTTCATCAACAGTATAATATCCAGTCTTTCTTTTTCTGATCCAGTAGCTTCTACAGCATGCTTTTCCCCCGAATTAACAAAGCAGGCCGAGTGAGGGATTGTGCTGCCTAGGTGGCAGATGGTCTCTAGAATACTGCAGAGGCTCTATGCTGTGGAAATGAGGAACTTCATTCCTGGCCTTAATTGGTATCTCTATGGGCTGTGATTCCTATGCATTCTGTAACATAATGGAACATAATTGCCTGTAAAGATGGAAGAAAAGTCCTAACAGTAATATGTCTTTGGTTTGTCTCCAGGTGCTGAGTTGCCGAGCAAGGAGGACGTACGTAAGAAGAAGCCTATTTACACGAAGAAGAAGAAGGCTGCAGGTACAGTAGTGTTTATAACATTTTTTAAAAAGGGGTTGGAAGCATTTCATGCCTTTGGTGTGTTGGACATATAGAGCTAGAGATATGTTGTTTTTTTTTTTTTAGACCAGTTGGCACTAAGTGTGTGAAGTGCTCTGCTCTTTTACAGCAATAAAAAAAAAAGTAAAGATCCCTTATCATGCTTTTTAGGCGTATCGGGTATATGGGAAGAGCGCCCATATTTTTTACAGACCATCGGTACTAGGTGGGTGGTGTGGTCAGCATTACACTGGCTGTCTTTACTTCTCCAGGACAGGCCATCCTGGTACCCATTTTCCTATGTCCCATATCATGATAAAAATCCATCAGCCAGCAGTGGGTTTCGATTGCGGTACGTTGGAATTATGAGCCGGACTCGCAGCGCCTAAGCCACGGACGCCACCTTTCACAGCATTAGTAAAAGTTAAATGTGTTCTTTGTTTGTACGTAAATTCTGAGCTTTTGAACTATAATGCTACAGAAAAATTCTTAGAACACTGTGGACAAAAAAGAGGAAAAACACTTGACATCCTACATGATCTGAGCGTCGAGAATTTGGCTCATAATCAGCATCCTGTCCTGAAAGCTAAGGCCTTGTTAAATGTCATAGTGGCCTGGAGAGAACAGTGGTGAGGGGTACAGTTTGAGAAGGACAAGGCAGAGGCTGAAATCACCTAGGGCCATTAGGGGTAACACCCTGTGCCATATGGGGTAACACCCTGTGACATAAGGGGTAACACCCAGTGCCATATGGGGTAACACCCTGTGCCATATGGAGTAACACCTTGTGCCATATGAGGTAACATCCTGTGCCATATGGAGTAACACCCTGTGTCGTATGGAGAAACACCTTATGTCGTATGAGGTGACATCCTGTGCTGTATGAGGTAACACCCTGTGCCACATGGGGTAACACCCTGTGCCAGAATAACACCCTCTTGCCATTAAAGCGCTAGCTGTGTCTTTAAAAACATGGACCTAAGGTCATGTTCCTGACATATCATCCTGTTTTGTCATTATGTTTCACGTAAGGCTCACATTCCAGCTCTCTATACCTCACATGCACATTTTTTGTGTGTGGAAGTAGAGGACCCTTTTCACGCAAATGGTGCATCGGTCATATGCTGCTTGACTCATATAGACCATTCACCGCACGATGAGTGATGTGGTTAACATCATGCCTGCCACCTTTACTTTCCAGGACATTTCTTGATACCTGTATTTGGATTGGGTTGATCTACGAGCAAGGTCAAATTTTTTTTTTTCAATTTCACCTGGTGTGAACTCTAAACCTTTTGGCAGGTAGGGGGACATCTAGCTCCTGTGCCATAGTTTCTGCTACGCCCCCAGATCTGATACTGTATAAACTTTTGTATTTTACATAATGTAATCATTTCCCACCCATTTTGACAGCTCAAGGAATGGGAGATGTGCCAGAGAAATCACCGTCACCAACCACTCCCACGTCTCCGATGGAGACTGAGACCCCAGTCCTAGAGGTGAAGTCAGCCACAGCAGTAGTGGAGAGGAAGGATAGCTTGGTGGAAGCGGCTGAGGAGAAGCAGGAGCCTGTGGAGGTTGTTGAGGAAGAAGAAGTGAAAGATGAATGGGATGCAGAAAGTGAGGAAGATGAAGAAGAGGAGGAGGACGAAGAGTATGAGGAGGTCGAAGGTTAGTACTCCATAGTAAGATTTTAGACAATCAGTACAATAGATTTTATATTTTGAGCAGCAAATTTCAGTAGACATTGGTCTAAAAATGCAATAGATTTTCAGCAACAAATAAAGTAGATTTTGAGCAACAAGTACAGCAGATTTTAGATTTCCAGCAACCAATTCGTAGATTCTGAACAGCCAAAACAATATATTTTTAGCTCCGGTGTGGTTCCGGGGTCCCAGTTTGATGGGAAATGAAGAATACACCAACTGTTCTTAATAAGCATGTTGTAAAAGGCAACTGGGGTTTTGATGAAACAAGATATGTTGGTCCAAAAGGCACAGATTTCCCACAGTAGCTGTACACCACACAAAACACTTCCCCTTTTGTCATCCCCTTTTAAGAAGAAAAAGAAGCAGTACAATAGATTATCAGTATAAGAGTTTTTGGGGCACCAATACAATAGACACCCATATGTCTCCCTTCCAGCAAATGTTTAATAGCATCTTTATCCCTACTTTGTGTTATCAGTGCCAAACATGGACAATGAATATGGCACTAGAACAGAAAAATAAATCAAAGAATCAGCACGTCGGCACTGTAGACTGACCAGTGCGAATGTTCGCTTGATACACCGCATACTTACCAAGTATCCATGGTATGCTGAATAGTGTTACAGTAACAAGTCACCATTCCCGCCCAACAGCAATAAAGGACGCCGGATACATGTTGAACGTCAAAAACAGAATTAATGTATTTCTAATTCCAACACCAAAACAATGAAAGGCATCACGAGAATAAAACATTACACCGCCACAGTCATTCCTACTGGCAAGGCAACACACACTACGGACGCTCTGGGCTACTTCTACTGCCACCCTGTCCCGTGGTCAACTACAAGCAAACATTACCTGCTGGTGCCAACTCACTACTCGTGATTATGTGTCTACCTCTATGACACCCATCCCTTGGGTACACTGTCATAGCAGAATTATACAGGCCGATGCACAGTACATTGTGAAACTTGTCCAGACCTTCCATCTGCGGCCTGACACGTAATTGAGATCTAAATAATCTCACCACACGAGCGACTGTCACGCTGGCGCGGCCACTGTAACAACACTCACAGACAGCCGTACACCTTCCGCCAGCGTAACACAGTTATGCAGGACCAGCCTGGAACCATCCAGACTAGAACAGGCCTTCTACACAGCGTCGTAGAGTCCACCGTTACTCACTCTCTCTCTCCCTTCATTCTGTTCAATGTGTGCTGCACCGCACCAAGTTTTACGTTCAATAATGAACTTCCCTTCCCATTGCACACAACATAGACGTCCTGCCAAAACTACCAATGTAGAAAAGTTGAAATGTGCTGAGGGCATTATTCTTACTGATAGGTGAATCACTACTTAACACTAGAAATTACTATCAGTCCGCAATTGCAGTGCAAATGTAGTTATAAAAACTGTCGGATTTTCTAAGGTTTGCACGAGTCTCACAAATGACTGCTGATTGCAGAGGCAAGCATTTTAGAACTGACGAAAAAGCTTGTTGGTTAAGATCATTTCAGTTGATGAAACCTAGCACATCATTTTGAACCTGAGACATAAATGTATTCAATGGTGTGGCATCATCTGCAGTCACCAGAAGAAAGATATTCATGAAAACTCCAGCTGGAAAGGTCATGATCACTGTCTTTTCATGCATGGAAGGTGTGATTCTTGTGGATGTTATGCCAAGAGGAGAGACAATTCCCAGGTTTACATTAGGACATTGGAAAAACTAATTGTTTTCGCAGAGTTCAGCCGCACAAGAATCCAGCAGATCTGCTTCTCCTTCCCAACAGTGTGCACCCTCACACAAGCCTGGCAACATGGGAAGCAGTCATCACATTGGGTTGGACTGTGCTACACCACATGCCCTTTAGTCCTGACTTAGCACCCTCTGATTTTCATCTGTTTAGTTCACTACCTAAAGGTGCACTCTCTGAGACAAGGTTTGTAGATGATGATGAAGCCATTCATACAGTGAATAAATGGCCACTTGGTCAGAACAAAAACTAGTATGGGCTAGTAATGCATGCACTTGTTTAGCGCTGGCCTAAAGCTAAACAAAATGATGGGGATTATGTTGAATAATAACCCTGTTTACAGGACATATCCTTGCATATTTGGTATTAATTTTATGCCTTTTGAATAAACAGCTCCTGATAAGAACTGGGTGATGTGGTGCATTACTTTCTGAACGACCCTGAGTATTTTAGTCGATTCTGGCAATCACAGTAATAGACTGACGCTAATCAGTTTAATAGATTTTGGGCAGCCAGTACTGTAGATATTTGGCAACTACTTTACTAGACTTAGAGCAAATACAGCAATAGATTTTGGGCAACCAGTACTGTAGATATTTGGCAACTACTTTACTAGATTTAGAGCAAATACAACAATAGATTTTGGGCATCCAGTACTGTAGATATTTGGCAACTACTTTACTAGATTTAGAGCAAATACAACAATAGATTTTGGGCAGCCAGTACTGTAGATATTTGACAACTACTTTACTAGACTTGGAGCAAATACAGCAATAGATTTTGGGCAGCGAGTACTGTAGATATTTGGCAACTACTTTACTAGACTTAGAGCAAATACAGTAATAGATTTTGGGCAGCCAGTAATGTAGATATTTGGCAACTACTTTACCAGACTTAGAGCAAATACAGCAATAGATTTTGGGCAGCCAGTACTGTAGATATTTGGCAACTACTTTACTAGACTTAGAGCAAATACAGCAATAGATTTTGGGCAACCAGTACTGTAGATATTTGGCAACTACTTTGCTAGACTTAGAGCAAATACAGCAATAGATTTTGGGCAGCCAAAATTTGTGCAATTTCCATGTTGCCATTTTACCTCGCCTGATGCATAATTTAGAACCCTCTTTTATCGCTCTACAGTTTGGTCTTATTTTTTTTTTCCAGCTTCCATATAGTCAGCTGCCAGGGTAAATTTCAAAATTGTAAATTCTACCTGAAAAAAATTATTTGTATTAATGTAGTATGTTTGTTAATAATACATTGAATTGTATGTTTTAAATACATCATTTTATCAATTATTAATCTCCTGTCTGGGTTCTTTGTGCTCCATTAATCTCCTGTCTGGGTTCTTTGTGCTCCATGTAGAGAACAAAGAATAGCCTAACATGTATGCTGTAGGAGGTGACTAAAAAAAGTCATAGTGCATTTGCCTGAGAGACAAGGAACCAACAGTCCACATGCAAATAAGCCAGATCTGTAAAATCCATAAAACATGTACACACACAACTGCATCTCTGGATCAAGACGAAAGTCTCGGAGTGGATAATTAACCAGAGATTTCCGCTGGAGTTTACAGCCGGTGAATGCTAAAAAGAAGTATTATTAATACATTGTTTTGTGTGTTTTAACAAACTTTATGTTCTTAGAGGCATGGCTGCTGAGCGATTAAGATTGCTAGGTTCTCATTCAAGTGGCCCATATTTAGATTCTTGGTAAGGCAGTATTTTATCATTTTTCTAATGACCACAATTTCCACAATGCATATAGACTGGACTAGCTATTCGGCCCTAAATCCTCAGGCTCATGGCTCCCCTTTCCTTCACCGCCCTAAAAATGTATTAAATACAAGCGGTGACTATAGTGTATGTTTTCAAAGGACAGTTTGTGTTTTTAATACATCATTTTGTGTCTGATACATTGTTTTGCATGTTTAAATACATTCTCTGTTTTTTAATACACTGTCTGGTTTGTTTTAAAAATTAAAAGATTACGTGGTGAAGCCCAAGCCTAAACCAGTTCAGGCACCAGCTAAAGTTGTGGCACCAGCTAAAACGGCAGCGCCAGTGAAAACTACAGCATCAGCTAAAACTGCAGCACCAGCTAAAACTCTTCCAGCCAAGGATGATGAGGAAGAAACCAGTGATGAAGATGAGGAGGATGAGGAGGAGGATGAAGATGAAGAAGAGAGCAGCGAGGAGTCGGAGTCAGAGGATGAGTTAACTCCTGTGGAACGAGGGAGGGAGAAAGTGATGGTGGGTAGATTGATGGATATGAAGATTTATTGTACTGTGTGTTCCTCCTTCTTCCTCTGCATTTTCAGTTTTCATCTGTAAACCACAGAGGAAAGTCCTGGTTGGTCATCTGTGTCTTCTTCTTCTTCTTCTTCTTCTTCTTCTTCTTCATTCACCCTTAAAAGGAATGGTTAATATGTTTTGCTTTGGTGAGCAGAAAGGCTACAATATCTCAACCCTGGAATCCAAGACATTTCAGCAAGTCTTTGATTAGTCGCCTTTTATGACATACTTGTTATGGTTAGGTGGGTCTGTTCTTTAGGATCCCCCCCCTCTTCCCCCCCCCCCCAACCATTTCCTCCTAAAATGGAGTCTTGGAACCCACACAGGGAGTCTGAGCTTTCATCCTGGTACAGGACATTGCCTGTGTGAATTCTGGGGCCCCATTTTGGTGGGGGAAAAGAATAGACCCACTGCCCCACTAACAAGATTGTCATTAAAGGTGACTTATTGGGGGTATTTCCTTCAAATGTGCAACTACCTGAGAGGCAAGGAACCAACAGTCTGCATAAAGATAAGCCAAATCTCTAAAAGTTTAAAATGGATATGCGTGCAAAACTCAAGCTATGGAAAGAGATCACTATACAGAAATGGGCAAACAACCAGAACTTTCTACCAGAGTTTAAAACCGTTAAACGCTAAGAATATAGGAAGTAGTCATTCCAGGACTTGGGTGCTATTTGAATATCCATTTGACAGATATGGCTTTTTGTGTATAAACTGTGGGTTCCTCACTTCTCAGGCAGATGCACAATCCTTAGTGTTGCAGTTATGAGGCCACAGTATGAGCCACCTGATACATTTTTAGGCCAAGTTGACGTCAAATTCTGCTGTAAACCTCAGGTATAGAAGTCATGGGGTAAGGCCAAAATTTTAGGCGTCTGTTTCATCGCACACACACACCCCCCCCCCCCCCCCCAATCAAAATGGGGAATCTTGTGGATATTATATGAAATATATGTCAGTATGCTTTATTGTTCCTATTACATCCTATGCCTGTTCTTTTCATCAGAAACGAGCAGAGGCTGCAAACAAGGAAAGAAACCTAGACAACCTGCGAGCTCCAGTCGTTTGTGTCTTAGGCCATGTCGATACGGGAAAGACAAAAATCTTGGACAAGGTTAGTTATCATACTCCATTTTTTAGTATGTACTGATGAAGGCTCTATAGCCACAATGTTCATGTTTTGTTTGTGTTTGTTACATCCTGAAGCTCGCTGATCTACCTTTTGTTCGGTTTTATATCTTTTCATTTGCTAGAATGTCACCATGTTCGCTGTCACAAAATGCTGCTCTTCTTCTTCGTTCATCTGAGTGACATAAATGTGCTATGCCTTTTTACAACATAACTGCCATATTGGCACCTTTTGGCCAACACATCTGACTTCTGCAGGCATTTGTTATCTGGGTTAGCCTTCCCTAATTCACCAGAGTTGTCCTCAGAGGACCTCGTCCAGGGCAGAGCATGGGCATTCCCTGCCATCAAAAGGGGCTTCCATAAATGCTGAAACGATACAAGGTCATCTAGTACTGGGCTTATCCAAAAAAAATGTGTGTGTCCTGCACATGGCCGCTTAACCTCACATCAGTATATTGAGCTTTTTACTCATTATGGGCTGCAACCTTTAGGGATCTCCAGGAAGCAGTCTGCAGACCTGAGACTCCATTCCCTGCACAAATGGGCATCTCACTTTCTCAGCATGTCAGACTTAAAAAATGTTATGTTCTTTGGTGGAATGTATGTTGTCAGTAATAGAATATGTTTCCCCTATGTGGGTTTCGGGACCCCATCGTGGGGAAAATAAAAATAGACCCACTGCCTCACCAAAAAGAATGTCGTAAGAGTCGACTAACTGAGGGGCTTCCTTTGATGTCAGAGTACATGTGCCTGAGAAGCAAGGAACCAACAGTCTGCATACAAAAAAGCCAGACCTGTGAAATAAATGTGGACCTGGCACTCAGGTTCGTGGAACATGGATTAAGTCCAGGGGTGGGTGAACAACCAGAACTTTTTGCTGGAGTTTACAGACATTGAACACGAAGAAGAAGAGAAGTAGAATATCTTTCCTGTGATGGAAAGTAATTTCTTTTCTGTTATGCAGGGTTCGTAGTGGACCGGGAAATCGGGAAATTACCGGGATTTTTTTCGTTGACCTTGAACCGGGATTTTTAGCTTATAAAAGACATTCCGACCTTAAAAACCCGTGAATTTTGACCGCGGCAATGAAATCGTCAGAAATCCTGTGTTTTTCAGCACAGGCAATTTTGAGGGAGCCATTTGGCTTTTTGGCCATTTGGCTAGTTTTTGGCTACTTTCGTTGTATGGTCGTTTCAGGTGTGAGGGCAGCTGATTATTGGCTATTTTCAGCCGAAATGGCTTGTTAAAGGCCAGGGGAGGGCGGGCTTTGTTGCTGATCATGAAAACATGCAGACAGCAGCGGTGTGGCATGGGGCGGGAAGTAGCAGATTCCGTCTCGCGCGCGCCTTTGTTGTGTGTGTGCCTTTGTTTCTAGCGAGTCCGGCAGAATGAACAGTATAAATCTTTATGGCCGTGGTTTCTAGAAAGGATTACATTGGGAGATGGTGGGGCTCGGTTCAGTTGTATTTTTAAATAGAGTCGGCTAAGCACGGCCTTCTCTATTAATTAGAGATGGCATTGGGGCTAAGCAAAGTGACTGCAGCTGGATTTCCCAGTTCTATTTTTGGCCTGGATTTATCTTTACAGTGTGTTTGGCGATCAGTATTGTAATTCCCCGAGATTCCCTCTTCTGTTGTCTCACCCCTCTCTCTCTCTCTCTCTTCCCTCCCTCTTTCACTCTTCTACCTATTGCTCCTTCCTTCCCGTCTCCTGCATTGTCTCTAACCCTCCCTTCTGATCTTCATCTTCTTCTCTTTCTCTCTATCTTTCCTTTTACTCTCTCATTTCCTGTCCCCCCCCCCCCTCCCCCTTTTCCTATTTTATTTCTTGTTTAAATGTTTAGTAAATGTGCGGCTCCATAACTCTTCCTAGCAACTCAAGTACACAGGAAGTTGTATTGGGGGGGGGGGGGGGGGCATTCTGTGTGAACATGGTGGATATTTTCTTTTGATGTGTTTTTTGTTTTCCTAGCGGCCTTAATCTCTGTCCATCTCCCTTCCCGCCCCCTCACATTTTTGTCCTACCTGTTCCTCACTCTCTGACTGTCTGTGTCACTGCTTTCCTCTCTCTCTTTGTATTTGCCGCTCTCCCTCACTCCCTCCCTCTCTTTCTCTCTCTCTCTTTCTTTCTTTCTCCATACCTTCAGTTGGTGTATAAGGTTATGTGTTGCCTAGTGCAGAACATTTCATGTCCATCATTCCCCCCTCCCACACATTAAATATATGTGTACTTTTAAAAACACATTTGCCGTCACCTCCCCCCCCCCCCTTTTCTCCTCCCACATTGATGACACCTAGGGGAGGGAGTGCACCCCTTCCTGCTACCTTCTTCCCTCTATATCTCATCTTATTTCTTACTCCCTTCTTTCTCTCCCTGTCTCATTCCCACTTTATTTTCTTAAACTTTATTCTCTCACCTCCTCTGTCTCACCCTTACCACCTCAGCCTTCTACACCACTTTCCACCACCTCCTCTCTCCCCTCCTTTCTGTAATTGGAAAACCAGAAATAAAATGAAGTCCACTGCTGCCCTGACCTATTTATGTGTCTGACCTATTTATGTGTGTGGGTAAACTTCTCTATTTTCCACCAGTGGTGGGTTGGGATCCCCTGGACTTTTTTTTTTCTTCATAAAATGACATTGGCTCTCAGGTCACCAGCCTTAAGTGTAAGAAATTGAATTATTGTTGTCACACACAGATAGGACAAGCAAGGGGCAGTAGGGGTTAGCACTGTTGTTTTTGGACCACGGCCACATTCACATTGGGAGAGGGTAGGAACCGGAAAAGTGGCCTCACTTAGAGATTTCCTAATTCTATTTTGGGCACTCATTGTTCTTACACCCCCCACCCCCACAACCGTGTCTTACCTTTCTTCTCTCACCCCTTCTCTTTCCTTGATCTTCTACTATTCTCCTTTCTCTCTCCATTCTTCCTCTCTTCCTTTCCTTGCCCTTTCTCCTGTCCCATCTCTTCTTTGTCTCCTCTCCATCCTGTCTTTTCATTTTCTCTAGATTTCCTTACCCGCTCCCCTCTCTCATTCCATCCCCCCCCCCCCCCCCATTTTTTTTACCTGGTTCATCTACATATTTTTTTGCCCCATAACTATCTTTTCCTAGTGGTTGTGTCCACTACACTTGAAATTGTGTGTGGGGGGGGGGGGGGAGTGGGTGGCTGTTTTTTTTCTTTGAGGTATCTTGTCTCCCTTCCTTCCCCCCTCTCTTAATCTGTGTTTGTCACTGCCTTCCTTACCCACCTTTCTCTCTCTCTCTCTTGCTTTATGTCTGTTTGCCTCCCTTCATCACTTCCTCTTTGTATACCTCCCTCCCATTCTCCTGCTCTGCCTTTTTTCTCTTTCTTTGGTTCTCTCCCTCTGTCTGCTTGCCTCTCTGTGCTGTCCCTTTGTCTCTCTCTCCTTTATGTCTACATCTCTCTCTGCTTGCATCTGCTTCTCACCCTGTCCGTTCTCTCTCCCTCTGTCTCCCTTCTTTCAACTCTTTGTCATATTTTCCTCCTTCCATATCTCTGTTTCGTTCCCTTTTTCCTTCTCTTTTCATCTGCCCATCTCTGTATCTGCATTCCCTCTTTCTGTATTTGTCTCCCTCTCTGTCTTTCGCTGTCCCTTCCCCACTTTTCCTCATCATGTTTCCATCCCTCCCTCTCATTTTTTCCTCCTTCCCCAGACTTCTTTTCCTTCTTTTCTCTACCTTCATCTGTCCATCTTTACACTGTCTCTCCCAGCCTACCTCAGCATGTGTCTTCCTCTCTCTTCATGACTCTCTCTCTCTCCCCTAACCCTCTCAGGTACCAGGTCCAGAACAGACAGGACTTCAGTTTGCTGCCCTCTACCACCAAGCCCTAAAAAAAAATTTCAAACACTATATCAAGCTCAGGGGCCGACCAACACGAAGATGGACACAGGATATAAGTGACTCCTTGAGTATAAAAAAGTACATGAGGCGGGAGAGCTGGTGAGAGACCGAGTTTTTTTTTGTCAGGACAAAGGAAATGCTACATGATGATGATATCTGTGCTGGTATACCAACACATGTGGCACAAATGAAGTACCTTGTGTGCTCAGTACACCCTTGAACAAGGCAAAAATCTTGTATTAGTATTACACCGAGACAACCTTGAAAAAAACTAAGAAGACCTTGAAAAAGACCTTGAAAAGCCTTGAAATTGATTGGTAAATTTGGCTATGAACCCTGGTTATGGCATGTTGGCATCTTTACATCTTCCCAGCTGGTAGTTTAATACTGTGCTATAGGAAGGTATGGGACTCACAGCCCATGGGTGTGTTGAGTGTGACTAGCAAGACCTGCTTACCTTAAGAAAAGTCTTCCACAGTTAATGCAAGAGATTTCAGGCCCACTGTTTCTGTCATATTTATCTACTAACATGCTTCTTCTAGGATGCTCAGCTGATGACATGTAACATTTTCTGTAATGGAGTGTTTTCTTTTCTGTGACTAAAGAACCATTAAAAAAATTTTTTTAACACTATTTGTGCTTTGGATATGTGATGTTGGACTGATGTTTATATAGACCTGTTGGCATCTGTGGGTGATGTGGGCAACATCATGCTGGTCACCCTTACATCCTGGATATTTCCTGGTACCCATTTTAGGCTGGGTTGACATGCGAGCCAAGTTTTGATAATGCAGTGCATCTGTTCTTTGAAGACTTGTTTGGACTTTTCTTTGTAGATTGTTTGTTTTGGACATTTTTGCATGTTGTGTTTTTAGACTTCTGTGTAGGTTGTTCATTTGGACTTTATGTAGGTTGTATGTTTGGACTTTTCTTTGTAGGTTATTTGCTTGGGCTTTTCTTTGTAATTTGTATGTTTGGACTTTTCTTTGTAAATTGTATGTTTGGACTTTTCTTTTAAGTTGTATGTTTGGACTTTTCTTTGTAAGTTGTATGTTTGGACATTTCTATGTTGGTTGTATGTTTGGACTTTTTATTGTAAGTTGTTTGTTAGGACTTCTCTTTGTTGGTTGTATGTTTGGAATTTTCTTTGTAGCTTGTATGTTTGGACTTTTTTTGTAGGTTATTTGTCTGGGTTTTTTTCTGTAAGTTATTTGTTTGGACTTCTTTGTAGTTTATTTGTCTGGACATTTCAATGATGGTTGTTTGTTTGGACTTTTCTTAGTAAGTTGTATTTTTGGACTTTTCTTTGTAAGTTATTTGTTTGGAATTTTCTTTGTAAGTTGTATGTTTGGACTTTTCTTTGTAGGTTGTTTGTCTGGACATTTCCATGTATGTTGTTTGTTTGGACTTATCTTTGTAGGCTGTTTGTCTGGACATTTCTATGTAAGTTGTTTGTTTAGGTGTTTCTGTGCGTATTGTTTATTTTGATGTTTCTGTGAATATTGTTTGTTTTGACCTGTCTGTGAAAGTTGTTTGTTTGGATGTTTCTGCGAAGGGGGGGTTGTTGAAACTGCCACTTAACTGCTGCTTTGTATTTCAGCTTAGAAGAACCAATGTCCAGGATGGAGAAGCAGGTGGTATCACTCAGCAGATTGGAGCCACCAATGTCCCGAAGGATGCCATTCTGGATAAAACCAAGATGTGCAAAGAGGTAGCTCTTTAATTTCTTCTGCTTATTCTGCTTGCTTCTCCCAGTAAGACATAGGCTATCAACCAACTCATGACTGAGTCTTATAACTATAAACAGGTCAGCAACAAAAAAGGTTCAACTGATGTTGATTCCCTGGAATTCAGGACAGCTGGTCCCCATGTGGGTTCTGCGGACCAGTCTTTGGGGGGTGGGGGGGGGGGGGGAGGAGAATAGATCCACTGCCCTTAAACAAAAGAGTTGATACCAGCACATTACATGAGTATACATTACCATAAATACAAATAAGAATACACAGAATCACTTAACTGAAGTATCTCTTGAGGGAAATCTTATATCTGATTGGCCATTAGAATCTCTGACACGTGTGACTGCCATAAATAAATACTAGACAGAAAAAAAAAAAGCTGTTTAAGGGCCATAACTAACAAAATATTAGTTAAAATTGAGTTGGGTATTGAGTCACCTAGATAATAATGCACTCGCAGTGGAACCCAGTCACATGATTAAAGACAGAGAAACCAACACAAAGACGATAATTAGAGAATGGGGTGGAAAGATGAGAAGGCCATAGGATAAGTTGCATGTGGAATTACATATGGGTATGACGTTCTTCTTCTTTTCTGTTCCTGTTCTGCTTTTCAGCATCAGATTTTGAAGAGGCATCAGGTGCATATTTTTACCAACATTTTGTTGCCTGTGCCAAAGGTGGACATTAAGAAGGAAAGAAAAATTAAATGTCTATGACAAATTCTGATTGTAGCTAGAAGAGACAGGATCAGAAAAGAAATTGTGACGAAACCCATGCTTAGCTACATTAAGAGACAACAGATCAATTAGTTTGGACGTGTGTCAACAATACAACCAGATAGTGCACCACAGCCCTGTCACTTACATAATGGAAGCAGATCTAGACGATTTAAATAATTCATGACAATTCCCGCCCAAGTGATGTGATTGTAAATACAGATGGCTCTGTGTTGAGGGGCAGACAAAGTGCATGGGGGTTCATAGCGAAGGCGAATGGAGGTCGCTTGGTGCACCAAAGCCTGGCAAATGATATCACATCGTCTAGTTTGCGAATGGGGATGGAGGCAGTCACTGCTGGCTTGAGAATCAGCTGTACACACATGTCGTCATTGTAACTGACTCACAGAGCATGCTGAGAAAGGTGGAGACAGGCATGCTCCGTGCAGAGTGGCAGGCATCACTTCAGAGGTCCCGGGTAGTTAGCATCCTTTGGATATTTTCTCCAGGTCATGCCTGTGTGTTGGGAAATGAGCAGGCAGATAGACTGGCCGGTTCTGCACGACTTGGTATTGAACCGATGTATCACAAGCTGGATGAGGGCCCTTTGGAAGCGAGTGAACAGTGCTGAGGAACAGATAGATCATTATGGTCTGAGGAGAATGATACTGCGAGGAGTTACAAGGGGATCTGGCTGACGCTTGGCACTCAGGGGAAAGGCGAGATGGATATACAATTAGACAGTTACTGGTACCATCTGAATTTTAACTCTTTACTAGCTGCTGAAGATGGGGACACAGCGCTTATGGGGTGTCCCAAGGGCTGTGATGTCGATTCTTAACTCAACATTCAAAATCTAGAGGTCGACCATGGAAGCGATAGCTAGATGGAATATCTTAGGCCATAATTACCAGCATCTACGTGCATGAGCTGAATGGAGTGATATTAATGTTAGATAGCATATTTACTTTCTCTTATATGTTGTTAATGCCTCTTGTATATAATGTGTTCTTGTGTTTTAGTTTACCAAACAGGAGCTCAAGCTTCCTGGCCTTTTGATTATTGATACTCCTGGCCACGAGTCTTTCAGGTTTGTATTCTGGGTACTGAGATCTGTTTGTGTGCTCTCTATCCTTTTTTCGCCTTAAGGTCCATCTGGCATATGGATCTTATCCTGTATTTGTTTAGTCCAGTCAGCACTAAGTGGGCCGTATGGTTCAGCATTACACCCGCTGCCTTTATTCCGCAGAACACTATGGGGCCTATTTTGAGCTGGGTTAACCTGGGAGCCCATGTTAATTTTTTTATTTTTAAATATGTCTAGATGGGAATTTGAACCAAATACCATCTGGCTATTTGCCAAACATTTAAATACGGTGCACTGTGTCCGCAAAGTCATGGTGCACTTTTGACCAGTCACAGGAAAGCAACAAAAGAAGATAAAATGTGAAATTTGACTCCCTTAGACTTTTACTTGTGGGGTTATGTGAAGCAACATGTGTACATTGAACTTATCAACAACATAAATCATTTAAAACGTTATTAATTCTGTTACACCAGACATCCTTCACCTTGTGTGAGAAAAACTTGAAAATATTGTTTAGATATGTGTAGGGCAACAAATGGATGTCACAAAAACTGTGCTGAATCGGTACGAAGCTTGGAGAGTTTTCCTTTCCTTTGGTAAAGATTTCACATTTCTATCTTGTTTCATGACTTTAGGGGCACACAGTATATTTGCATACATTTTTTCATTATGTGGAAGTGACGGAGATGAGATTTTATAGAAGGATGATGAGACTACCGAGGACAGATAAAAAGAGTAATGATGTCTTGAAAGAAAATTGACTCACGAATAGAACTGAATTGCCCACATCAGAAAGAGAGAAACTACATTCTCTGGTCATGTCATGAGAAGGAGAAAACTGGAGTACATCATGATATTGGGAAAGTTAGAGGGAAAAGAGGCGAACAGAGAAACCAAAAGAGAAAATGCTGGGCAGATTGGCATAAAAGATCATCTGTGTCAGAATTGATTGAAAGTACACGAGACAAAAGGTTCTAGATGACATGATTATCAGGGCCACACGGATTGGACTATAAGAAGAAGACACATATTCTTCTGTCTGGAAGCCCTGGTAGTGCAGTGGCTAAACGATCCTGGAAAATTGACAGTGACGCCTGCCAGGCAACTACGTGAAGCGTAATCATGGAGATAACAGCTCTTCCAGAGCACTAGCATGGGCAGCAGAACAAGCAGCCTTACACATAGTGATGTATCAGATTCCATGAACATGCTTCAGAATTTCAACAGGCAGCCTATGCTCTGAATGGGTAGACAGCTCTCGGAAGTTGCAACAAACCTCCCTCACATGAATCTACACACAAGGGCATGTCAGAGTATAATGTAAAGAACAAACAGACCAGCTGGCAAGTATTGTGTCACTGCAGTAGGAAAGAAGCATGTACAGAACAGATATCATCAACGATATACAGACGGGACTGGCAGATAGTAGTGAGTCTCTGATGTTAACATGATTGCATGAAATTGGGGGAAGCCTGGTAAAGTACATCTGAGCTGTATTCGAAGTCAGGAGAGGAGACATAGCAAACTTCTCATGGATGCAGCCTTTAGAGGTGGCTGCTGCATAGGGGGACTGAGCACTCATGGGAATGCCCAGTGTGCAGTGACGTCAATTGTGATGACATAACATTCATGATATGTCAATGTTTAATGCTCATATAGTTATAAAAAAAAAAAAAAATTCAGCAGATGTTGTGTTTACAAAGACAAAATTGTGTAAAATAATTCTTCACTTACCATGGTTTTGCAGCCACAAGAGCATTGAATATCCAAATTTGAGGATAACAATTTAAAGTTTGTTTAATTTCCTAACACATTCGAAAGATATAAGTTTCTAGGTTAGTTTTAGTTCTTAGAGGGTGCTGAACAAATTTTGAAGACAAAATGATAGAAAGTAGGCCTGTGCAAACAAAAATATTAATTTTTACAGTTATATAAAGACTGTAGCTCTAATGATTTTAATGCACCTTAGCCACAGTATAATACTGATCGAAATGGTACTTTTGGATGCAAATATGGGTGACTGTCACATCTTTTGGACACGAAATGGCTCCTCTGTGTCTGACTTATCAGAACTACTAGACTAAAAGCTCAGCTGCTGTTGGTGTAAATTCACCGTCTGAATCACTTTTAGTAATTTGTTTTCATTATCACAATAGAATTTGAAACATTTTACTGAAACAATTTTAACCACAGTAATGTGCATTTTGGGATCTGTATTTGTGCATTGAACATTGGTATCCATTGTCAGTCAAAGATGATATCAGAAAATTCACTGTCTGAAAATGGCGCTCACAATAAATGCAATAATTTTGCACCTAAATGTATGCACAAAGGTCCCATTTCCAGGATTTAAAGCGTATTGGGAATATAGGGCTAGACCTATATTTGTACAGACCAATCAGCACTTGGTGGGTGATGATATGGTTAGCCACCTTTACTTCCCAGGACTGTACCTGGTACCCACTCAAGTCGACCTGGGAGTCAAGGTCGTTTTTGGAAAAAATGTCTGGCTCTGTCAGGACGCGAACCTACGACCTTCGGATTTACATGCGGGCACCTAGCCGCCAACGCCACAGCAACTCCCACAAAGACGTGTAAATAAACAAAAACGTTTGAGTAACCTTCCCTGAATATTTAAATGGTAGTTTCAGACGTTAAAAACTAATATGCAACAGCATGCGCATCAATATGTGTGGGACACACGATCAACACAGACTTTTTGGTTTTAGCAAATTGCAACTTCTTAGGCAAACACACACAGCATTGCTTAGGCCTGAAAGAGTTAATGACTTTTTCCACTGTTTTCTTCTACAGCAATCTCAGAGTACGAGGCACCTCCCTGTGTGACATCGCTATTCTGGTCATCGATATCATGCACGGCCTGGAACCCCAGACCATAGAGTCCATCAATCTGCTGAAGGAGAGGAAGACCCCGTTTGTTGTAGCTTTAAACAAGGTGGGCTACTGGTCTTGCTGCGGCTGTTTATTATTTTCAACTGTATCTTTATACATCATCATCATTACCCTTGATTATAAATTATCAGCAGCCTGCGGATCGGAAGGTGGTGGGTTCCGGTCCTGGTGGTACTGGACTTTGACCCCCAGAAAAATTACCTTGTCGACCTAGATTTGTATGGATACCAGATTGAGTCCAAGGAACTAAAGGCAGCCGGCATGATGCTGACCACATCACCCACCAAGTGCCGATTGGTCTATAAAATATAGGTCTAGCCCTATATGCCCAAGACACCTGAAGGTGGGGAAAAGGTTCTGATCCTTTACTTTACTTGTCATCAGTAAACTATTCATGTCAAAGTGTCACAAGGCATTTTTGCGAACATGTCCAAGCCTCCTCCATTTTCTTTCTTTAATAACAATTGCAGTGGATGGACATTTTATTTTCCTCATCGGCTCATCGTTTATAATCTTATCTTGTCTACCCGAAATCCTCTCAGAATTCTTCTTAGATATTTATTGTAAAAAGTCTCTAGTTTCTTTGTAATGCCCGCGGTCATTTTCCAACACTCACTTTCATATAATGGTATTCCTTTTCTGTATTTTTCTTCATGTTTACCGGGTGTAAACTCTGGAGAAAAGTTGTGGTTGTTTATGGACACATCCATTTTACAGATCTGGCTTATATGTGTGCATACTGTCGGTTCTTTGCCTCTTAGGCAGATGCATTCTCACTTCAAAGGAAGCATCTCTAATTACTTGACTCTTACGATATGCTTGTTAGAGTGGCAGTGATTCTATTCTTTTTTTCCTGGAAACCACAGCCAATGGCGGATGTCCAGAACACTGTGAAGAAACAGACACCGCACACTAAGGCAGAGTTTGATGAGAGAGCTCAGCAAGTTATTGTACAGTTGGCCACGGAGGTAAGAGTGACATTGTCTTCTTCTTCTTCTTCGCGTTCACCAGCTGTACACTCTGGCGGAAAGTTCTAGTTGCTTGTCCACTACAGAACTGCAGTCCTGCTCCAGAACCTGAGTGTTGCGTGTGTGTCAGTTTTACAGATCTCATTCTCTTGAATACAGACTGTTGGTACCTTGCCTCTCTGGCAGATGCACTCTGACTTCAAAGGAAGCTCCCCAATTAGTCGACTCTTACGACGTGCTTTTGGGGAGGCAATGGGTCTATTCTTGTTTTCCCCACAATGGGGCCCCGGAACCCACACGGGGGAGACTGACATTGTGTTGTTGTTGATTCTGTAAAGAACTAACATTACAGCGCTTGATGTACGGCTAGAATCTTGCCTGCGGATCGGAAGGTCTCTCAGCCTGACGCCCTGGTCACTCCCAGCTGCACCTAAAACACCCAAATGACCTAGAGAAATATTCAGAACACTAACCACTTGGGATCTTTGAACCAGCGCTTGCAACTCTGAATGGAGCACACCTTTTTCAGCATGCTTTGTTAAAATTACATATGTGTGCAACTGGTTCCCAAGCCAGCAGAAGGATGCAATGACTGCCTCCACATCCATTCTCAGACTAGATGTGGTATAATGTCTTTACTTGAGAGTTCATTTCTGGTTACCGTATAGATAGGAGGGAGTCGCGTGGTCTAGTGGCTAGATGCTCGCATGCGGATTGGAAGGTCGTGGGTTCGCTTCTTAGTGGAGCCGAACGTTTTAAAAAAATTACCTTCACTCCCAGGTCGACTTCGCCTTGAGTGGGTACAACGTGCAATCCCGGGAAATAAAAGTGGCGGGTGTGATGCTGACCACATCACCCATTTTGTGCCGGTTGGTCTATAAAAATATAGGTCTAGCCCTATATGCCTAAAGGCGTGGAGAAGGGACCTTTACTTTTTCTTGTATATTTATAGATAGGAATTTAGTAATTTGAAAAAAGTAAACTCGGAGCTAATTATGAAATGTGTGTATTATATCAAGTAAGCTCCCCCTATCATTTCTGCTGTTCACGTTTTTTGTATCTGTGTAATCAGGTTATTGCAGTTCCAGTTCATAGTTACTCCTTTCCTGTGCCAGGTAAAAACCACACAGAATGTTCATAACTGGCATTTGTGGAAACAAAAATTAATATTAACTGCAGTCTTAGCCAGTCCAACAGCATACACACACATTAGATAGATAAGGCAGCCGTCAGAAGTACCAGTATTAAAAGTTCGAAACTAGAAATGCAGTTTAACGTTGATGCAAGCAGTTTTAACAACAGATCAGTGGTTGCATTCACAATTTACCGCATAAGACACTACCAATTCTCTGGCAACAGGCCACTCACCATTTTTCTGAATCTGAAGTTCACAACACAAACCACGTTGGGCATGATGGAAAAGGATTCCAAAAAAAATCAGTGTCGCTCCATGCTCCCAGCTTAGTAGCTGGGTGATGGAACTATATCTTTTCAGTCTACATATGGGTGAAAATGTGGTGGCACACTATTGTCAGAAACAAAAAGTTACCACAACTAAGAATGATAAACTGCCTATCCGCCATCTGGAATTTTCTCTATCTGTGTATTGTAACATTCATCTCAGCAATGAAGATCATCTGTAGTGGATCTTCAACACTCTCTTGTCCTGGTTATACACTCTCTGAAACTGCTGTATTTTCATCTCTTGCTCACCTGCCTTTTATGTCCCATATAGTGTGTATTTTAACATTTTAAACGTAAGAAATGCATTTCCTGAAATTCCCCAGGGCCTGAACGCTGCCTTGTTCTACGAGAATAAAAACCCGAGAGAGTATGTATCCCTGGTCCCCACCTCGGCTCACAGTGGTGACGGCATGGGCAACCTGGTGGCCCTGATCTGTGAACTGTGTCAGAGCATGTTGGCCAAGAAGCTCATGTACAGCCCTGACTTGCAGGCTGTTGTCATGGAGGTGAGTGTTTTGATGACCTTTTCTTCATGCTGGCGCTTTTCCTTTATCTTGTCTGTTCCTTCATGTCTGCCTTTGTGCTTTTGCTTACCATTTCTTTTTCTGGTTTTCTAATTCATATTTTTCTTTTGGATTCACCCTTATTGGTGTGGTTGTTGTATATGGTGCGTTGTAATTTACAGCAAAGCGGCGATATCTGCACTGTTCAGCCCAACACATCCAACAGCCGTTGCTATATATTTTATTATCACAATCCTCCACTGAGACTCTGTCTCCTAATGTCTGAGTTTGTCGACAACACATTTCAGTATCAGGATAAAAGATTTGGCTATATAAGTTGATGTTTATCACTGTTTTTGGTTATCACTTTTTAGATGTTGATTTGGATTTTTCTTCAGATCTGTAAAACGGATGTGCATGCAGTACTCAGGTTCTGGAACAAAGCTAATGTCCATAGGTGGACGAACAACCAGAACTTTCCGCGGTGATTAAAACCCGGTGAAGAATAAGACGAGGAAGAAGAATATCCCGTCACCTACAGTAGTGTTTGATCACTGTCCTGTATCTACATTGATGTTTGATTATTGTCCTTTGACCAAGTAATACCTGATCACTGTTCTATGCCTACATTAATGTCTGGTTACTGCTCCAAACCTACTGTAATGTCTGATTACTTTTCCATACCTGTAGTAATTTATGGTCACTGCTCCAAACCTACTGTAATGTCTGATTACTTTTCCATACCTGTAGTAATGTCTGGTCACTGCTCCAAACCTACTGTAATGTCTGATTACTTTTCCATACCTGTAGTAATGTCTGGTCACTGCTCCATACCTGTAGTAATGCCTGGTCACTGCTCCATGCCTGCAGTAATTTCTTATCCCTGCTTCATACCTTTAGTAATGTCTGATCAATGTCCTGTGTCTACAGTAATGTCTGGTCACTGCTCCATACCAGTAGTAATGTCTGATCACTGCTCCATACCTGAAGTAATGTCTGATCACTGCTCCATACCTGTAGTAATGTCTGATCACTGCTCTATACCTGTAGTAATGTCTGATCACTGCTCCATACCTGTTGTAATGTCTGATCACTGCTCTATACCTGTAGTAATGTCTGATCACTGCTCCATACCTGTTGTAATGTCTGATCACTGCTCCATACCTGTAGTAATGTCTGATCACTGCTCCATACCTGTAGTAATGTCTGATCACTGCTCCATACCTGTAGTAATGTCTGATCACTGCTCCAAACCTACTGTAATGTCTGATTACTTTTCCATACCTGTAGTAACGTCTGATCACTGGTCCATACCTATAGTAATGTGTGATCACTGCTCCATACCTGTAGTAACGTCTGATCACTGCTCCATACCTGTAGTAATGTCTGATCACTGTTCCATACCTGTAGTAATGTCTGATCACTGCTCCATACCTGTAGTAATGTCTGATCACTGCTCCATACCTGTAGTAATGTCTGATCACTGCTCCATACCTGTAGTAATGTCTTATCACTGCTCCATACCTGTAGTAATGTCTGATCACTGCTCCAGACCTGTAGTAATGTTTGGTCACTGCTCCATACCTGTAGTAATGTCTGATCACTGCTCCATACCTGTAGTAATGTCTGATCACTGTCCCATACCTGTAGTAATGTCTGATCACAGCTCCATACCTGTAGTAATGTCTGATCACTGCTCCATACCTGTAGTGTCTGATCACTGCTCCATACCTGTAGTAATGTCTGATCACTGCTTCATACCTGTAGTAATGTCTGATCACTGCTCCATACCTGTTGTAATGTCTGATCACTGCTCCATACCTGTATTAATGTCTGATCACTGCTCCATACCTGTAGTAATGTCTGATCACTGCTCCATACCTGTAGTAATGTCTGATCACTGCTCCATACCTGTAGTAATCTCTGATCACTGCTCTATGACTACTCTAATATTTGATCACTGTCCGATGCATACAGAGATGTTATTCAGCCTGTTTTTAATGTTGGGGGGGGGGGGGGGGGGCACTCAAACCTTGTTTAAATGTTGCAATTATAATATTTATTTTTATGTGCAAAACATGGAGATGGTAACAGAAGGATAGAGGAATTGAAGACAGTTATCGAGATGATTATGCTGGAAAAAAGCAGCAGGATGTGATGGTATAACACCAGAAATGGTAAAATATATATGAATCACAGGAGAGCAACTTCTCCTGAAGGTTTTCAAGGCAGCCTTTGTGTGGTAAGACTGTGCCAAAAGTGTAGGAGACTGCCATCATTGTACCTATATTGGAAGAGTGTGGTAACAGGTGATGAGAAAACCACAGAGGCATATTCCTCCTCAGCGTTCCTGGTAAAAGTTACTCTAGACTCAGATTTCTGGCAGAGCCACAGCTAGATTAGGCCCAATGCTGCTTCAGAGCAAACTGAAGTACTAAAAACCTTATCTTCACACTCAGACAGATGAGTGAAAAAGTCATAGAATATAACAGTGAGACGAACTTATGTTTCTTGGATCTAGAAAAGGCATTTGATTAAGTTCCCTGGAGCAAGCTCTGGGACTGCTTGGCAGTGAAGAACATACTAGCACCCCTGATCAGTGCAATACAGAGTTTTTAACAAAAGCTGCAGAAATTATGTAAGAACAGAAGTCGGAAGAGTTTAAGACAGCTAGCGGTGTTAGACAAGGTGATATTCTCTCTCCTTATCTTCTCATTCTTTTGATGGATAATTTCAGCAAGACCTAAAAGGAGAAGAAAAAGAAGTACTTTCTTGGGTATTGGAATATGAGACCAACCTGCATATCAGAGCTGGCATTTGCAAATGATATGGTCCTAATTACTAAATCAGAACACACCTTCAATCAAATTTACTTGTCTGGAAAGAAGAATTTGAGAAGAGAGGGATGACCATCAGTATCTCCTTAACTAAAACCATGGTGATCTTGAGATCGGAGAAGAAACTTCAGATAATGATGGCACAAGATGCACTGGATCTGGTCAACCAGTTCAGATACCTTGTTGTAATAAACCAGAATAATGGAGGCATCTAGTCAGAGTTGGCTGCTTGAAAGGCAACAGGTGGGAGACTTTTCCTGGCCTTAACCAGCAAGGAGAAATTAGCAAGAGGACGACAATTGCTATATACCGCTCTACCTTTGTACAAGTCCTGACATATGGGTGTGAGTCATGGACAATAGCAACAGCTCATAGAAGCCAGCTTCAGGCCTCAGAAATGAGAAATCTGAGAAAGGTGGTCCAAGGGACAAAGTTTGCAATCAGACAGTACAGTTAAACATGGGCCTTACAAACTGGAGTGGATCAGTCACAGGATGGTTTGGACATGAATGCAGAATGGAAGAGAATCGTCCACCACTGTGGCAGGGATTTGAGACCAAGACCCAAATAACCAAACCTCTAGGACCACCCAGAGTTTGCTGGGAAGACAGCAGACAGTCTCTGACTGACAGAGGACTGAAATGGAACAAAGCTAAAAAGGAAACCGCTGATAGAGAAGTCTGGTGATCTCTTTGGCAAACCTCTACACCCCAGGGCAGAAGAGGAGCGATGTGATGAAGGGTGCAGTTTCCGGAAGCCAGAGGCATGCCTTCATGAATGTGGATACAAGACATTGAAGAAACATTGGCTATGAAAGCCCTTAACCCTGGAGAATTAGCTAGAGAGAAAAAAACAAGAGACTTTTAGGCGTGCCATGACAAGAACAATATTCTATAGTAAACCTGCTGAGTGATGATGATGATGATCATTTGAAATAATATGCGAGGCATAACAAATAATTAGAAAGAGAAAGTCTTTACTGGGTAAGAGGAGCTTTTTATAATTTTCAGAGTCCCCCAGTCCTTAAAAACGAAACATTTACCTACTTTTAAGTAAGAATATTTTTTTTAAAACCCAGATTTCAAAATTTGGGCCCAAGGCGTCAAATAAAAATCAGATCTGGGAGTTAAAAAAAACCCATCATTGGCAGCCCTGCCTCACATGAGAAAACTGAATGTGGGACATTTATTTACCGTGTCTGTCCCCATCTGTGGAGAAAGTTTTATATCCTCTTCATTAGGTTCCTCTCCCGATGTAACCCCGAAACCCGCAGGTGGTGATTTATTTCTCCGTCTCCCCTCCCGACAATCGCCAGCCCTGGTCGTTATTGTTCTCGACCGGTCCCCGTTTTGTGTCGTTGTTGCGGGCTCTGGTGTCTGGTTTGTGTGCACAAAGCTCCCTACAATGATAGGCCGTCAGGGCGGATTTAGTATCCGAGGCTCTGGCGAGCGTGGCACACAAAAAAAGCCAAGGGGCCAACAGGTGGTAGGGATTGAAGGCGCTGACACTGATTAAACAATCCGACACTTGTGGGTCAAGGCGAGATTCACAGCTGTAGTCAGGGGCGTCGGAATCTAAGGGTTTAGGCAACCTTCGAGCACGCGTTAGCACAGTCTATATGAGACTCGCTTTTAAATCTAGCTGCAATTTGCTGCCGATGGGCAGACAGACCATAGACAGTACCTTGCGAATTGAGGATATTTTGGGGCGGGTTCTGAAATGTTTTTGGGCTATATATGATGCTAGATCATTTTTGTTGTTTGTTGTTTACCTGGGGTCGCCACACAACTCCCCCCACCCCCTTTTTTTTCAACAGTAATTTGCTATTAAGAAGCTGTTCCCTCTGCTAACCATGAATAGCAGTCCTTCTTGTAAGGTTTTGTTTATATATATCCTGCTGTGAGAGCTCTGCCGGCGGTAGAGTCTTCTTCTTCTGCCTTCCTATCCCCCAATGGAGCATAGGCCCTCAACCAGCTCATGCCAAGTCGTTCTATCCTTCGCTATTACATGGAGCTCTCCCCATCTTTCTAACTTCATTCTCCAGCTCTCTTCTTCGTGTGTTTTTGGCCTTCCTTTATTCCTAATCTCCTGTTTGTTCCAATGCAAAGACATTCTAGTTGTGCTGGTCTCCTGTTATCTCAGTTTGTGTCCTATCCAATGCCAGCG